AGCAGCAACAAAATACGATTCTAAATGTGTGTGGGGGGGGGGGGGGGGGGGCAGAGGACCTGGAGAAAAATCCACGCGACCACGGGGAGAGAGACACCGCAAACTCCAAATATACAGCAGCAGGCGTCAGGGTCGGGATCTAACCAACGACCCCCTGCATACCAAGCGAGGTAGTCAACATCTCGCCAACGTGGCGCCCTGTCGTTGCGACATTTCTCTCCGCCTTCCGCAGAGCGAGCAGCACCTCACTCCCAGCTCGGCCCTCGTTAGTTAGAGGCGTTATGAATAAATACGTAAATAAATGTATCAAACATACACCTTAATACAGAGATATATATAGAGTATACATGTTCCACTGACTTTTTTGATCCATTGCCACGTCTGCAATGCGGTTGGTCAACTGCATGACGCCTCCGCGGGGCGGGGGGCTGGTGGAGAGGGGTGGTATTGGGGTTCGAGCTCTGGCACCCCCTGTTGACGAGCGTGCCATCGACCGTTGTGTCAGGTCTACATGCCATTCTTCACCTTGCTTATGCACCAAGGTGAGAGGTTGGCGTTGTGTGAATGGCTATATAATTCAAACTAGCTTTTTTGCCCGTCCAAGGACGGGTGTAGATTGCAGTAAATCTGATATATTTAATAGAAAAATAGTTCAGCTCATGATTATTAATGAGAGGGGGGGGGGGGTGCCCCATGTGATGTGACGTCACCCGCTAATGGTTATTGGGGATGGGTGCGGCATGTGGAGTGACGTCACCCCCTCATGGTTATTGTGGAGGGGTGCGGCATGTGGAGTGACGTCACCCCCTCATGGTTATTGTGTAGGGGTGCGGCATGTGGAGTGACGTCACCCCCTCAAGGTTATTGTGGAGGGGTGCGCCATGTGGAGTGACGTCCCCCCTCATGGTTATTGTGGAGGGGTGCGCCATGTGGAGTGACGTCACCCCCTCATGGTTATTGTGGAGGGGTGCGCCATGTGGAGTGACGTCACCCGCTGATGATTATTAATGAGGGGAGGGGTGCGACATGTGGAGTGCGCGACCTTCTTGTGCGTTAATGAAGGGGGGGCTCTTTTGCAGTGACGTCACGCACGGATGTAGCACTGTGCTGCGTAGATTTATTTTTTACCGTCACTTTCTGTAAAGAAACGTCATATTTGAAGCAACTTTGTGTAATAAATTATTTAATTCAGCTCGACCTTCCTCTGCGTTCGTGTAAAAATCCACCCACTCATGAATATTAATGAGGGGGCTGGGCCTCATGCGCAGTGACGTCATGCGGGGGGTGGGCCTCGTGTTGAGTGACGTCACGCGCGGGACGGACAGACATTTCTGGGTGATTATAGTAGGCAATATGCATTCGTACATCTAACAGGTCGCGCATAGATCCCTTGGATACGTGGTCGGCCAACCCACCAACGACAATAATACCGATTATCCACTGCTCCCTGCCTAAAGGCATCAAAACACAATTTCTCCACCCCACGTCCCAGCAGTTGGGCTGCCACGTGCTCCCACTCGAGCCGACCAACCACTGCAAGTTTTAATAAACCGGCCGAGTTAACGCCTCTCCGCGTTGCAGTTCGCAATTAACATTCAAAGCCATGTGCCTGCCTCTTGTGCGCGCATAGGTGCTCGCTAACAGCACTTGCCCCAACAGTCTGTTAAAGGCTATACGGGGGATATTTGTCTTTGTGTAGCCACCCACTCCCCTCGTGTGCCGTGCAGACTTCCATAGGTGCTCGCTAACAGCACTTGCCCCAACAGTCTGTTAAAGGCTATACGGGGGACATTTGTCTTTGGAGGCTGAGGGGGTGGTGAGGGGGGTTACTGGCGAGCCCTACCGATGCTGCAACCACAAGAGACCACGAATACAACACGCACAATGAATCGAACGTGCACTTCACATCGCATCACAGCCACGTGGAGATGTTGTGTACGACCCAGGCACGAGTGGCATCGCGGCCACACGCGAGCTCACGTCCAAACCCGCGCTCTCGCAGTCGAATCTCCCCGTCTCTGAGTTGCCACGAGTGTCCAGAGTGGCTCACTCCGCGTCAAAGCAAATCAGCCGGCAGGCACCGGGGTCTGCAATGAAAATAAAATATTCGCCCGACGCCTTCACCGCTTTTCATGTCATGAAGGTCATACCGACGACGGCGTGTACGTTCGCGACAATCATTGTTTTTCACCCGGACGTTATTACTTGTTGTTGTCAGTGCACTGCATTCGTGCTATATATGTATATTGAGGGTTGCCGTGATATAATTTACGACAGTACGAATCGTCACGACGTGACGATTATCGCGATATCATTTTCGCTATGTAATTATCACGATATCATTATCGCGATATCACCCCACCCACCCCTCGTAATGTTGTGAGTGTTTTCGCGATCGCTATCGTTCCCTGTTTTTCGTTGCCTTGCTGTCTGAACTTCCAGGGACGAGTCTAGGTTGCACCTAAACGTTCTCCAACCTCGCAATTCACACAAGCCTGCCGTCAGTTACGCGAGAGCTAATAAACGAACTTAATTAACCACGACTATGAACGTGTCATATGAGCGACACAGGCGTCTAATGCATCACGAGAAAACATTCTGCAAAGCAGAAATTAAATCAGTAAAACAGCCATTTCACTTGAACCTCATTTTTCTGTGTGTGTGTTGCTTTTGTTAGTTCGTAAATATTTTGCCGGGTAATACAACAATTCTGTTGAAAAATATATCGGTGCCAGGATAAGCACAATAGAACGGTGTGTTGCAAAAAAAGACAACACCACTGCCGTGGACCTTGTCTGTCGGTACGATGTATATCGTTTGTTTCGCCATATCGCGGGCAACCCTATAATCTGCGCATAACTCAACACAAAATATCCTGGCAGTTTGAAGGGCAAATCAACAACTCGGGCAGACTTCTGAAATCTTCAACACGTTCAGACGGACTTCTCGAAGCTAGTGTGCTGTGCCACACTGACCAATGCTGTGGATTTGCTCTCCAACACACCGGTGTGCATGCTCTGTTTACGTGACAAACCTTACTAATTGGCTGTGTCGGGTGGTGGCGGGTTTAACGACACATTTATATTTACGTAATCTAACCCCAACGCCCTCCCCCCCCGTATTATGGACGATATTGGTCGTGAAAGCCTACGTGTTAAGCATAGTCAAACAACTGCCAACATTACCGATCGTAAAGTCTGAACGACATTTTCAGGCAATCTATACTTGATTCCTGACTTGTCCCTGAACGACCTGAAGCTGTTCTGGGTGATTTGCCCCGTGTGCACGATGCGTCGAAAGGTTTACGTGTATAATACAGAGTACACGTTTGTAAATGCTGTAATTTAATACACGATTACCAACGCCGCCGCCACCACCACCACGAGCTGCAAACTGTCTCAACTGCCCATCACTGTGACTTAAGACTCCTTCTTGACATCATCAGTAATCTTAAAGGCGTACACAGGGCAATCAACGAATGCCTTCCCCACTCCTAGCTCTGTCAGCAGTGGCGTGCGCGAGCAATTGCAGGCCTGCGCCTCTACCCTCAACCTCTTCTGGAAGTGCCCATGCGTCTGAATTTTATTTAACATATGAACACTATAGCAATTAAAATTGTAAATGTAGCGTTGTCCTCTAACGAACAATATTATTCGTATTATGGGACCTTTTTGATACTGAAAAAAGGGTCCGATTATAAAGTTGGCCACCCCGAGCTAGAAATGCTCTGCTACGTGTGGCATTGTCTTTGAACTGTTCGCCGTTTGGCGTTCTCTGGCCTGATACTGGAGAGACTAGGTCATAAAGGAGACTGTCTCTGGTGTAGGCCAATCAGTTCCAAAGGCAATGCAAATATATTATCAGAGCATGTTTGTTTGCATGTTCACCACAAGTACGTGTGGTTAATGCAGACTTGATTCCTTGAATAAAGATTTTGTTTGGTGCTTTAACATCTTGACACCTCTTTTATTGCCTGAAAAGGTAAAACCTATTCTTATTTTTAATATTATTCCTGTCAATGAGTTACTCCGGAAGGCCTGAGTCTCAAGGCTCTCTTTGAGGAGTGTCCTGCTACATCGGAAGGTGTTTCCTCCGATTACATTAACGAGCATTTGGCTTCGCGTGGCAGGAAAGCTAAGAACTCAGAGAAAACCCGACCTAGCACACGAGGCCCCCCCCCCCACGCTTACAACACGTGGCAAGCCCTGGTGGCTGTGAGCCACCCGGGCCAGGTCGTGGGGTGGTGGCGCGCTCTGAGACAAGCGCCGACAAAGTCGCACGATTTGTTCACCGGCCACGCCGAAAATGCCGTAGCCGCTATTGATGTTCAAATGTCACGAGGTCTCTCCACTGTGGCTGCTACCACCATTTCAAAGTGAAAGAGGCAATCTTCATTTCACGCAGATTACCACCCCCCTCCCGTTCCACCCTCACCCCAGCCCAAGTCTCGCCTGCTACAATGCAAATGAATTCAGAGTCGAAAGCTACAGATCTCCTCCTCGAGGGAGGAGACCTGGTGGATATGACGTCATTGTTACCCACGGGCTAAGGGGCAGATTGCTCGCCTCCCACGCGGGATGTTAAAAATACGGACGCGACAACAATTAATTATCAATCGGTATTTTTTCCCCCGCCTTCTAAAAACCGTAACGTCGACGGACACACTGCACAGCACGCCCAGAACAACGTTTGACCGGGGCTCGGCTTCAAAACAAGCCGGTCATCATTATTAGGGGAGACGTGGTTTTAAAATCGACCGACTTCCTACGGATTTCCGTGCACCCCTTTTGGTGCGGCCGTGCGTACTCACGCGCGCACCCGCACACGTGCACGCGCGGTGCACAGTGGTTTTTAGCGCACTGCGAAATGAACACCCAGCGACCCCGAGCGATTCCATTCCCGGCCGTGGCTAACATCGGTGGCGAGCGATATCTGGACCGGTTATTCCTGCGCGCCACCCTTGCCCAAACAAAGTAGAGCAGTTCAGCAATCGCAGTAAGACCCCCCCCCCCCCCGACATGTGGCGTGGGGAGGCCTTCGACCAGCAGTGGAACTGACAAAAGGTCTGTAAATGTAATATAATAATTACTTGTAATAAATTATTATTGTACGCATATACCTATGACTGGAATGTGATGTAGAAGTAGGCTTTGTGCAAATTGGGAACCGTCAAGGTTCGCGTGCGACGCCAGCGTTCACCCAGATTGAGCGGTGGCGCTGAGATTAGCGCGCCGTGCCATGAAACGCAGCGGCACCCGAGTTCAATCCCCAGCCGCGGCTAGCATCGTCAGTGACGACGTGACATCGGCACCTGCTCCGGGCCTCCCCAAGGTCAACTCCGCCTTAAATGAGGACCTGGTGCAGTGCGTAAACATCGGCACTCGGGAGACAGAAGGCGGCTCGGCATGGTGCAGGCACCACCACCAGAATGTGGGCCTCAATCGGTGCTCGCTAACAGCACGTGCCCCCCAACAGTCTCTTAAAGGCTACACGTGGAGGAGGGGGATTTTTGTATGCAGATTCTACTGCAGGGATGGTGTAGCAGTAGAAATGCCTTCCCTGACAGCAGCAAACCGTTGACATGTATCGGAAACCCTGCGCCACGATAAATGGCAGCTGTCAGTGACTTCGGCAATTGACGTCATGTGGGGTTGTCCCCCCGGCTTAGAATCGCGCAAGCCGCGATATTTCTTCGCGCGATGAGTCTTCGCGCAACTCGATTCCTGGCAACTCTTAAAACCCGTGGCGTGGCGTGATTGGCATGGGCCCCGGTGTAAGGGATGCAATGGGACCCCCCAAACCGTCTAACCGCCCCCCCCCCACCTCTCTTTGTAACCCCTGGAGCCTCTGGGTCCCTCCGGCCGATGGACCCCGGCGCAGTTGCACGGCCTGCACACTCGTACATAACGACGCCGCTGGTCGCGGCCCTGTCGAACACTACACGGACCGCGACGTTCAACGGTAGTGAGCTTTTGGTCAATTCTCCCAGTGGCGGAGGAGGCGGAGGCGGGGAGGAGACTCCGATGGGGTAGAGGGAGGAGCGTGGAGACACGCAGATCGGGCACCCAAGCCGCGTCGTCTCGGCCTCACTTTTGGCGCCAGCTCAGCGCACGAGCGGACGCAGTCGAGGTTTGCGACGCGTGGAAGGCAGCGGCGAGGAAGGGAGGGACGGCGCGCCGGCGTCAGGCGTGATGCGCAGCAGCGGCGCAGTCGCCGTCGAGTGTGCAGGCGGTGCAACTGCACCGTAAACGCACATTTTGGCTATGAAGGGCGCGTGTGTGGCGGCCGTCGAAGAAAGGGGCGGAATTGTAAGAGGCTGGGCGGTGGGGATGGGGGGCGGCCCGTTTAATTCTATGCACCAGAACCCATGCCAGCCCATGCCAACCTACGCTGGCACGCAATCTACTCAGCAATTTGCTGCAGTTCAAATCATCTCATGGTAATCGTGCGTCTTGACAACCCATCCCCAGGTATCGTTCACTGGCGCTACGCAACGCGAGAGTGTTATTCAGTGGAAAGAGAGATAGAGAGAGAGAGAGCGCGTGAGAGCGATAAGGTTGAAGGAGGCAGCGCAATCTCAGCATTCATCCTCCATCTCCCGGATTGGAGGGATCGGGCTGCCTATCGCCTTGAATTGGTTGATCTGGTTTGACAGCTGCGGATTCATCGGCTTAATGAGTATGTTGCGGTTGACTGCATCCTCCACCTCGTTGGGGTACCACTGCTTGTCTGCCGTGACAGGTGGGAGGGTGACGCAGAGAGAAGGACAAGGGAGGGATACCACGCACGCACACGCGCACACACAGGCACACACATGCGCACGCAACACCGTTACAAAAATGACAAAAGCATCAGTGAAATTACAAAAAAAAAAGACAACCGTCGATAAAACCGCCGCGTAGGTTTTCGCGGTCGTGCCCTACGCGCTTCTCCGACGCGTTTTCGGGTCGTGCCGCGTGGCCGTTGGGCGCGACGTCCGACGTTCCGCTCCGCGTGTTGGGGAGCTTCTTGGGGGCGCGGCGCACGGAACTACGACGGCGCGTCGGACGTCGTGCCGGACGGACGCGCGCGGTGCGACCCGAGAAGGGCGGCTTCGACGGCGCGGGAGAGCGTCGCGGTAGCCGCTCGGAGCGGGACGATGGAATGGAAACGTCTCTGAAGCCACGGCGACGTTTAGAGCAAACGCGGCATTACAGCGGGTGAGGTACGGCCGCGGCACGGGATGCTGCGGCACGAGCATGCACTGCAATCGGCGGCGTGGCGTGGCTGGCACCGGCGTGGTTGGCACAGGAATGAACCCAGTGTTGGGGGCATCCTTCAAAGGGATGCCCGAGGTGGTGGCAGTGTAGAAAGGACAATGTGACGTGGGCCTCGCACAAAAGAGGGTCCTCACGAGCGGCCTGGTTTTTCTTTTTGCGTTGCGTTATTATTATGCAATGATTTGATGGAAAAAGTGGTATTTTTGTTTAAATTCTGATGTAGGCTTGAACGTAGCGAATGAGTAGGAGGCCCCACGTGGAATTCTCTGGGTGGGCCTGCCCCTCTGGCCAATGGGACCCAGTGCAACGTGTTTGGCCATTTTCGTTTTAAGTCGCATTGTTCCTGCAAGAAATTGTGTTCCCTCTCTGTTAATTCTCGAGAGATATGCACGCAGCCAGGCCTGTGATGCATTGTGCTCGATGTTGTCACTAGCGGTGTAGCGTGGTTGGCACGGGCCCTGGTGCAACAACTTAAATGGGCTCTCCCCAGCTCCATTTCCCTTCACCGCCCTGATAGGCTGGCGCTTGGGTCTCTCAGGAACCGGGGGGGGGGGTGGGAGGGGTGGTAGGGACGTGGGTGGCGGCCCTGTGCAGTTGCACCGCCTGCACACTCAGCAGCTATGCCAGCCAACTTGCACGTCGAGCAAACTACGAACACACGGCCCACGGCACAGCGACAGTAATTACCGGTTGCGTATTAATCCAAGGGCTGCACCGCTTTCGCTAAAAGGTGGGGATTAGAAACAAAACGAAAAGTGAATGCAAACTGTCGCAAACGAAAGTTAATCAACGGACGCAAACAAACCATACAAACGCAAATATAAACACAAATTGAAAATTTGTGTACATCAGACTGCAGGTCAGGTGTGGAAATGTTGCAAATTTAGCTGTCATGTATTTTTTTTTTAATGAATTTAAGTCGCCCGTACAAAACATTTAGAGGCTGTTACTCGTTTGAACGAAATACCTAAAGTGAGCCATTCTTGTCAATCCACTGCTGGATGCCGGTCGTTGGGAGTTGTTTGACCATACTTCACCGCGCTGGTCAGTGCGGCTGTGGTGTCACTCGCCACTAACGGTGTTAGCCACGTCCGGGAATCGAACTCGGGTCACCGGTTTCGTAGTGCAGTGCCATAACCATTGCGCAGCTGCAACTGCATTAGGAATGTGTCGGTTCAGGTTTTTGTGATATTTTTGTTACAATTCCAGACTCTGCTACAAGGTTGTAAAGATTGCCGGGGCACGAACAAACCGACATGATTAGTGTCGGTCAAATAAAATGACATTCCTGTTTTGATATCACCAACACAGTAAGCAAGACAGTCCCGTCAGCCTTGCAGATGTGTCAAACGCAGAATTATACTTTTTGACGGAGTTCCATTTTTGACCATTTCCTGAGTAAAATCAGCCGGAGGGGGGTTTCCTCGCTTTAAAGCAAAAAAAACAAACAAAAACAAACCTACTTTCAATTTGTCAGTCAGCATCAGTGCATCCGTCAGTCAGTCTGTCAAGCCATCTGTCTGCCACCGTATCACCGTCGTTGCCTCTCAGCCAGTGTCAGTAAGATCCAGGTACTTTAATTAATCCGGAACGAACTCGGCGACTGTTATCTGAAGCGGTTCTGGGTACCCAGTTCACCAGCCCGCCACTGAACCAGCATGGTGAAGTGTGACGCTCAGCATAACCAACAGGCATTGGGAAGGACTTCACCCAGCAGTGCACCGACACAATTACGATCATAAACGATTGTAATTATTTGTGTTTATAGGTGTCCATATGTTATGTTGTACTGAAACATTTGAAACTCTCTTGTACCCGAGCGTTTTAACCCGAGGTGAGCTGTAGTGCGCGTACCCCGTTCGCCGTCAGAAGCATCCGAAAAAGAAAATCAAAAGATTGAAAAATCATGACGAAGAAGGAAATAAAATTTTAAAAAATCAGCGGCGATGGGTAAGAAGCGAATTCCTCGTGAGTCCCAAGCAGAGAGAATCAAAGAAGAAGAATGACGAGGAGGTGAGGAGGTGGCTTCATGCTGGTTACATGCTGCGGCGGGTGACCTCTGTGCTAAATACCTGCGCCAGGGCGGTTACTCCTGGTTGCGATCACACACGCACACCCGCACGCACGCACGCACGCACACACGCACGCACACACGCACACACACGCACACACACGCACACACGCACACACACACACACACGCACACACACACACGCACACACACGCACACACACACACGCACACACGCACACGCACACACACACGCACACACACACACGCACACACACACTCGCACACACACACGCACGCAACAGAGGGCGGCACAGAAGACGAGGTTAGGCCATCGGCAGCGTAGCAGCGCAACTCCCGTGGAGGTTTTCCCCGATGCGCTGCTGCGTAGGTCTCCGACGGGATCCTGGCTCGTGCCGCTATGTTTTTGTTCGGCACGATGTCCGACGTTCACGCGCTGGGAGCTTCTTCAGGAACTGAGTTCCCGAGTTATTCAGGGCGGTCCGAACACCGAAGGTCTCCGTGTAACATTGGAAGGACTAGGAATATTAAACTACTGCAGTTTACTGTCCATTGGATGAATAAAATGGGCTCTCCCGTACAATTCCCTCATTCGTCAAAGCGTGGGATCTGGGACATACGTCTTGGAAGAGGTGGGAGGTAACCGCATTTGACCCCACATTCACTCACTGTGGTGGTGCACCCATCGATTCTGGTGAGCGGCTAGGAGGAGTGGAAATTCAAGCAGTTTGCCATTTGTTAAAACTGCCACTACGGGAGATCAAATCGAACTGTACGTATGTATGTGGAACTTCATTCGCACCGTATGTAGGCAACCATGCTAATCGGAGGTGCTGGGGGAAGGACAACAAACTAAACACAAAAGGCAGTTTTGATTTAAAGCTTTCGTGACTGCAGTAATTCATATTCTTAGTTTTTTCGGTAAAGTCACGTTGAAGAGAAACAACAAAATAACAAAATATATATAAAACAATAAAAATTCTCACGACGTTTCGACCATAACTCAAACGGTCATCATCAGGTGTGTCGGTTTGCATAAATTTATTTTGAAAACGGCATATTTATTTATATATATAAAAATAACGTTTGCGTCACGCGCAACGATTGGCTGTTTGCCAGGACTAGTCCATCTATTTTTTGAAAAGAGGAGGGGGGAGACGAAATTTGTTTTTATGTATGCTGTCTGAAAGCCACTGTAAGCGTGAACAATCAATCAAGAACTGAAATGATTTATCAAATCTTTCCAATGATTGCTAAGATAGAATCCATCTTCTCGGTTGAAATTGTCTCTGTGTTTGTATATGTGGATAGCCTCATGAACGAATCTCTCATGGAAGCCAGATGGCTTACAAAGAACCTCCGTCTTGGAAAAGTCAATGGCATGTGAGCCTACTGAATTAGAACAATGATCTGCTACGGCCGAGGTGTTGGTCCTACCGTGTTTAAGGTCTGCTTTATGTTCACGAATGCGGTCCGCCATATCTCGGACCGCATTCGTGAACATAAAGCAGACCTTAAACACGGTAGGACCAACACCTCGGCCGTAGCAGATCATTGTTCTAATTCAGTAGGCTCACATGCCATTGACTTTTCCAAGACGGAGGTTCTTTGTAAGCCATCTGGCTTCCATGAGAGATTCGTTCATGAGGCTATCCACATATACAAACACAGAGACAATTTCAACCGAGAAGATGGATTCTATCTTAGCAATCATTGGAAAGATTTGATAAATCATTTCAGTTCTTGATTGATTGTTCACGCTTACAGTGGCTTTTAGACAGCATACATAAAAACAAATTTCGTCTCCCCCCTCCTCTTTTCAAAAAATAGATGGACTAGTCCTGGCAAACAGCCAATCGTTGCGCGTGACGCAAACGTTATTTTTATATATATAAATAAATAAATATGCCGTTTTCAAAATAAATTTATGCAAACCGACACACCTGATGATGACCGTTTGAGTTATGGTCGAAACGTCGTGAGAATTTTTATTGTTTTATATATATTTTGTTATTTTGTTGTTTCTCTTCAACGTGACTTTACCGAAAAAACTAAGAATACAAAAGGCAGTGTTAAAGAAATGAGAACTGGCGATGTCTACATTGCAAGTTGAGTGTTCCGACCGTTACGCGATATTTTTTTTTATATATAGGAAGGGATAGAGGGCCACCCGCCACCCCCATCCCACGTCACACCCCGGGGGACCCAGCAGGGCACCCGGCACTCACTTGGCCTTGGGGTCCCTGGCCCTGGGCTTGTTGTGGCGGGACGTCGCCGAGGAGATGGAGTGCAGCGAGGCCGTGTGCTTGCCCGTGAAGGAGTGCGAGCCGCGCGGCTGGCTCGCGTTGAAGTCGAACTGCATGAGGCAGAAGATGAGGTCGCTCGGGAAGAGCTCGAAGTTGTAGGGCGGGTTGGTGATCACGTAGCTGCGGCGACCCGCGGGAGAGGAACGCGCGTTACTCGGTGGGGTGGGGGGGGCGAGGAGTGTGCCGGGCGGTCGTGGTCGTTGTTGACCGGCGGCCAAACTTCCCGAGCCGACGGGCCGCGACTCGCGCAGGGCGGTCACACCGCCAGTGTTTCGCTGTCGCCCCGGTCGCCTGTTTTGTACTTTAGAAATCTGCGGCAGCGCTCCGGGTGAACTCGTGTGTGGCTCCGCTGCCAGGTGGGCGAGTGCCCACTGGGCCTCTCCCGCAGATTGTTGTTCCTTTTAAATTAAGGTCCCGTTGAAAAGTTACAAATCATCGTGGCCTCCAAGGAGCCGCACTGGAATCGCCCGGCGTGGGGGGGGGACGCGCCGCTTATGAGCCGCGATTTGTCCGCCCCCGGTAGAGATCGCCCGAACAAACTCTGGTAAGCTCGGCGCGTGTGTACAAGTGGGCTTCGGCAGAACACATCGATAGAAGGGATGATAACGAGAACGATATGTGTCATAATTTCAACTTGTAATGCGACGCTCATTTTCGTATAGAGAGAGAGAGAACGACTCGGAGGTTCTGGGTAACCACAGACGAGCGGGAAGGCAGTCACGTGGCGATCAGCCACAGGATGGCCAGTGGTCGAGGCTAGCGACAGAGTGGCAGCCGAGGGAGCGATCGGGCCCCGCGAGGACGCCCGCCGCCAACGCCGCCACCGCGATGGCGCGACGAGATCAACTCGTGCGGATTTCCGCGCCGCGCGACCGCGGCGGGATGCCGAATCCTTCATCCAGAAGTGGATGGAACATGGCTGATGATAATGAAGATGATGCCGGCCGTGCGTGGGAGGATATTGTATGGGGGGTAGTGGGAGGGGCGGGGGGGGGGGCGTGCGCAGGCTTCACCGTTTGGGAGACGGGCTGTTGGTGCTGAGGTGGGCGTCTCGGAATCTGTAGATCCCGAAGGCCAGCATGTTGTACGTCTTGAGGGCCTTGCAGAAGAGCTCGCCGTAGCAGCCTCCCTCCTGCCACACGCGCGTCGCACATTAGCCGGTGGCGGTGGCGAGGAACGCCGCCCAGCCAGAGCAGTCAACGCCGCGATGGTTAACGGCGTGACGGAATCCTCGAGTGCGTGCGTGCGTGCGGGTTTTTAACCGGGCGACCGGCGAAAGTACAAACATACACGGCTTCGGTACGAGACGACTGACGGCACTGTAGCGTTTGCGCCGCTTTGGGAATGACGCTCGCGTTTCAGCGTTTCGGAGCGCGCGATCGAGACGCGACGACTGCATTCGCCGAGCGTGGCGAGTGATGATGTGGAATGGAATGCCACCACGAGCGTGCACTACACGCAGCCGACCGGGCGTACGACTCCAACGCGAGGACATCGTGTTTGGCGACGCCGATGCCGCCGCTGCGGCTGCTGCGTTGGCAGCGGTACGCGCGCGCAAATAACAAAAACAAATCCCTTTAACGCGCCCGTCAATGACGCTGCCGTAGACATATGTGAACCGGTGACGTTTTAGGGCACGGCGCTTAACGTTATGATGTGGCATGTGTATAAAATATGGGTGGGGAGCAGGAGTGGTTCGTCCACTCGGGGCGTTGGGACGTCGCCCCACCGAGCAGCTGGAGATGAGAAATTATTTTTACAATTAAAAAATATTTTTCTATAAATTGTTTTGGTGTGTAAATTTTTTTTGGGAAATATATAATGATTCTTTCAACGTGAATTTCCTAATGAAGATAACATTTTAAGTTGTTCATATTAGAAACTGCTGCAAAAACACAGTCTGATTTGTTCCGAGGGGAGGTCTCGGGGCGGCAGTGAAGGCGTCCGGGTGAGAGATTTCCCTTTGTTCATTGCGATGAGCTTCGCATTGTAGCCGCGCCGTTTGAGACCCATGCAGGGTGGATAAAAAGGCACCCATGGCTGTAATGACGATGTCACACACGAGGTAGCATTGTGCAGAGACAGCAGCTCAGAGCTTTTGGCAGTGTCAAGGGGGTTGAGTGGTGTGGGCTTGAGGCTCATGGGGACAGCATTTGGGTGCTTCGTTGTTTTGTTTCATATTGTTTATAAACGCCTACCGTTGGTCGATAAGACAGTTGTTTCACGGGAAGGCCAATAACATGACGAGGTTTTTCTTAATGAGAACACCGTCTTGTCAGAGCTCACTCACAACAGCCCCGCCTAGTGGAGATGTCACGAGCTGCCACTTGTGGGGACCCCACTTCTTTAGCGTGCGTGCGCGTGCGTGTGTGTACATGCGTGTGTGCGTGTGTGTGTGTGCGTTCGTGCATGTATGTGTGCATGTGTGCGTGCGTGTGCATGTGTGCATGTGTGCGTGCGTGTGCGTGTGTGTGCGTGCATGTATGTATGTGTGCATGTGTGCGTGCGTGATTGTCTGCGTGCATGCGTGCGTGCATGTGTGCGTGCGTGCATGTGTGTGTGCGTGTGTGTGCATGTGTGCGTGCATGTGTGCGTGCATGCGTGCGTGCATGTGTCCGTGCGTGCATGTGTGTGTGTGTGCATGTGTGTGTGCATGTGTGTGTGTGTGCGTGTGTGTGCATGTGTGTGGGGAGCGATAGTGTAGCGGTTAGCGCGCTGCGCTATGAACCTGGCGACCCGGGTTCGATTCCCGCTCACGGCCAACACCAGTGACGATTATCTGAACCGGTCCCGGGCCTCCCCTAGGTCGACTCAGCCTCAAATGAGTACCTGGTGCGGTGTGTAAACATTGCCACTAGGGATACAAAGGCGGTCGGGCGTGGTGCTGGCCACCCACCCCCTCGTGTACCGTTCCGGCCTTCATAGGTGCACGCTAACAGCACTTGCCCCTACAGTCTGTTAAGGCTATATGGGGGATCTTTGTCTTTGTCTTTTGTGTGTGCGTGCGTGCATGTATGTGTGCATGTGTGCGTGCGTGATTGTCTGCGTGCGTGCGTGCATGTGTGTGTGTGTGCATGTGTGCATGTGTGTGTGCATGCGTGCGTGTGTGTGTGTGTATGTGTGTGCGTGTGTATGTGTGTATGTGCATGTGTGTATGTGCATGTGTGTGTGTGTGCGTGTGTGTGTGCGTGTGTGTGTGTGCATGTATGTGTGTGTGTGCATGTGTGTGTGCGTGTGTGCGTGTGTGTGCGTGTGTGTGCGTGCATGTGTGCGTGTGTGTGCGTGCATGTGTGTGGGTGCATGTGTGTGCATGTGTGTGCATGTGTGTGTGTGCGTGCGTGTGCGTGCGGGGGACATACCCCGAGGTCGGCAAAGGGCCCGTCGGACAGCGCCAGCTGCGCCACCCGGCAGCGGTCGCGGCTCGCGAGCGTCTGCGGCGTGCTGTAGCCGCCGCGCAGGGCGTTCTCCTCCGCCAGCAGGGCCTCGAGGTCGGGCGTGGCTCCTCCCGTCACCAGCGTGCGGATCAACGTCAGCGTATTGTCGTTGAAGTACGTCTGCGGGAGCGTACGCGGCCGTTAGCGCCGCGAGCGGTAAAATCGTCGGGCGGCATCCGACAAGCACCGCCGAAAGAACCGCAGGCGCTCGATCGTCCGTCGGCCACGCGTCTATTCGAGCGCTTGTCAAGATAGCGATGCGCGTATTCGAGATCCCAACAGACGCCGTTCGCTCCCGAGTGGCGGCGACGTCACCACGGCGCTTGTGCCGTGCTAGGAACATTCGGACGCAAACACGGGGACAGGGGACACGCTCTCGCAAAAATCGTCCACGGCACCACGAGAGGCTGCAGGCCCGTGCGGTGCTGGTGGTGGCTACGCTGCTGCTGCTGCACGTGGCTGCGTGTAGTCCAGCATTGTGGAGGCTGGAGCAGCGAGGGTTGGTGGATTACCGTGCACAGACGTTGTGAAACTCCCTTCCAGCAGGAGTGTAATTCCCTGGCTTGCCAAGAAAAGGCAGTAGAGTAAGTGAACTAAGCGCCATTCGTTTCGATTTGTAAGGGGGTTGAGCGCTGCCTCTCCCCTCGGGCGTGTGGATTTTCTCTATGGGCTCCGGTTTCCTCCAGCTTGTATAATAAACACAACTCGTCGTTAATTGGCTTAAAACATCTCAAAATTAACAACCCGATGTAGCAGCAGGAGTAGGACCCTCCTGAAAATGAGCCCTTGGACTATATTGCATAAATACGAGATTATTCTAATGTATTTTATATATAATGAGTTATTTATGTAATCAATCAAATTTACACCCCTTTGTTGTAGCGGTTTAGAGAACGATCCGTGGAAGCGGATATCACAGAACTAGTGCCGAGATCCCTTCGAGTGACCTCCGGTGCACACAGCAGGGAGGGGTGCTCTCCCATGCACTCTGCCAATGAGATTGTTTATTACATTGCAGTAAAAGCGATATTTTTGAAAATTTCATCACAGACGGTATTTAGCCACATGATTTAACGTGACAGATTTTCGTCAAGTCATTGGTGACCACGCTTAATCCGTCAACTCACTAGACCCGAGAACCCGGTTTAATGACAGGCGGATGCGTGGATCTGGGCCCAGGATCTCAGGCGTGCCAGCTCACTGTGCGACCTCCTCTCACCTGCCTCTGAAACAGCACAGCTTACACGGTGTGTGCGCGCGTGTGTAAATGATTGGCGAGGGCATAATCGTCTCGTTGATGGATGCACTTAAGTTCAGAGCGGCGTGTGATGTGTTCTTATCTCTTGCCATCATCTGCCCCGTAAAGACCGCACTCATTCACTGTACTGCAGACAATGACGTTGTTATTCGTGTATTTTTTTATTTCATTCTGTACACCCGTTTTCATCGTGCAAAAAAATGTGTTGACTACAATCTTTACTGCCTCTTTGTCTATCAGCCGCTGTACGAAGGCGGCGTTCACACTCCGTGTCGATCGTGGGGGATTGTTTGACCCTACTTCACCACACTGGGTCAGTGTGGGTTGGGAATGGGCAGTGGTCGCTACTGATGTTAGCCACTGCAGGGAATCGGACTTAGATGGCGAGGTTCATCGTGCAGGACCGCGCTACCATTGTACCACTCCGCTATGGTTTTAATCGTTTTTGTAACAGCCCTCTGTCGATCCACTGCTAGATGAGGTCCATTGTGTGACGGTGTTCATAACATTTTGATTCGTAATTAATTCCGTGGATGGAGACGACACCACGGGCGATCGAGAGTTGATTGCGATTTGTACAGCATCACTTAAACGCTAGCAATTTGAACTCTGAATCCATTTGCATTGCAGCAGGCGAGAAGTGGGCCGGGGGGAGAGTGGGAGGGGGGGAGGTTGTGGGAGCGGGTGGGAGAGTGGGGGGAGAGTGGGGGGAGGTTGGAGCAACTCAGACGGAGCGACAGGCTGGCGAGGCGTGCGTCGGTAACGCAAGGTGGCAGTAGCACGGTTGTTCATTACTCCGCTCGCAGTTAGGGTTTACTTTGGCAAAACTGCTGTCCGGTTAGCTTATCGTCAGGGAGCTCCCGTTAACGCTCACTCGGCTGGCCTCGCGTTATGCACGCTCAGAGCGGCTGACCCACAGCTCCGGCTCTTGCTTTGGACTCGACCAGGTCCGGCGTACAGAAGGCAGCGTCACAGCTCGCTCGATGTCCTCACCAAATATTTTCCGGGTCACCGATGAGACTTGGGAGTGGGTGGCACGTGGCAAGCAGTAGCCGCAGCCGTAGCGACAGGTATACCGGGCGCAGTGTGCCGGGCAAAGGGAATTTTTTTCCGGACTGCTGACACGGACAGACCCGGTTGGAAATGAACCCTGACTGGACCCATCTCTACAGAGGCTGCGACCTCACAGTCGACACTTCCTAATGATCTTAATCGTCAGAAGCGGTGCCATTCGGGGGGGGGGGGAATATATCGGTAAAAAATCCATCGCTGGTGCTGCACTTCCATTCCTCTCGCGTCCGTGCTTCCCGCATTCACCCACGCGCACTGACCAGCGCGTGGTCAAGTATGGCTAGCGGGTGGTGGTGTTAATAGCCATCGTAATTACTGTACTCATTTATCCCGGAAAGCCGCACCGCGAGTCCGAAAACGCCGACGACACGCCGGCAGTCTCTGCCACCGCGATCCTAGGCGCTCCGTAAAAACGGCGAACCGTTACCGCGCCGCGGGGAGCCACGCGATTTTCCGTCAAACGGCACAAGGGGGACACGCGGGTGGCCGGCCAGAATCACGGTTTAATTTGTGCGAATCCGTGCGCCCGGTACCAAAGCAACGCGGGCTCTCAACATTACGGCGTTAAGAGTTAAGGCGGCAAGGTTGCAACCTGAATTCATGGCAGTTATTACCGATTCATCTCGACTGGCGAGACCTCCCAGGAATCCCTAATTAGAGGCATCCCTGTAGTTTCGGGGCTGCCTGTCAGGCGGCGGGGTGTAATTATTTGTAATTTATTGCAACAAAAAAAAGAAACGCGTTTAAATCTGATCGGGACAGCAGTAGGAACGGCGCAGCGGGGGGGGGGGGGGGGGACGCGACAAGAACGCGGCACACACGAGCGACCCGTTGTCAGATGGCCCAGGAAAACGTGGAGCTCCCATCAGCCCGAGTGCGGAGCATTTCGCACGGAAAACAAATGACCGCGCCCGCGGGTAGAAACCTGCCCGCGGCAGCAGTTTGCAAAGTTGGAGCGGTTTGATCGCTGCGCCAAAATAATCCGCTCAGCGGGAGGTCGCTAATTCTCCTCCGCTGCCACCATGCTCTGGAACTCGGTATAACCCAGCCCCTCTTCGAGTCCAGGTTCACGACGCCTAGGACTATAGATTCACACCACTGTTGATGCTCTCGATTCACGCCATCCCCGTGGCAAGATGTTAACTACCTCGCCTGGTATACAGGTCATGAGTTCGATCCCGACCCCGATGATGCATGGATATTTGTAAGTGGTGTGGATATTTTTCCTTGTCTTCTGGTCCCCCCCCCACGCCCCCCCACCACCCCCACATTTAGAATCAACATGCGTTTAAGGCATTTGGCTGCTTCCAATGTCCACGTGACGATACGCCACTTGGTTGAGCTATCATTTGTGGCCGGGGGCGCTTCTGAAAAAGAGCTCACCTGGTAAAAATTAATATAGTAAATAAAAAATGTAGAGATTTACAAAACTTTAGTACAAGTTCACACATCACTCACCAGTGACATTACCCGGGCCAGGGAATCGAACGATTGCATCGATATTTTATCCCTTAATCGATTTGTGATGATTCTCATGCTCATAACAAGTGCATCAAATCTCTCGTGCAGGAATCAACGGTGCCGATTTGCAGATGGTGTTTGCGTGGACACTCTGTACGTGCCTAAGACTAATGTGTAAACGTCGCCACAAGTGAGACAAAGGCGGCCGGGAGTGGTGCTGGCCACTCACCCCCTCGTGTGCCATGCCGGCCATCATAGATGCTCGCTAACAGCACTTGACTCAACAGTCTGTTAAGGCTATACAGGGGAACTTTGTCTTTTTTTGCATGTGCAGGTATGTACTCATATGTGTGTAATCATGTGCTGGTATATGTATATGGTACTATATATGCACGTGTGTGCGTGTGCGTGCGTGCCTGAAGAGACTTTTTGGGCGAGTATTGCGATGGAGCACCTGTCGAAGGCCGTTATGGCTACACGGGGGATCTTTGTCTCCGTGTGCGTGCGCGCGAGACGGTTGAGCGTGCGCGTGCGAGCCAGTGCTGTGAGTACGTGTCCGTGTGATGTGTCTACGTGATGTGCCCGTGCGCGCCTTTGTACAAGCGGGGGGCGGGGGCGCGTCTGTAGGCCTCCTACTCACGGCGCTCATCAGAGAGTCGAGCACGCTGACGGCGAAGGCGGTGCCGCAGGCGAACGGCTGCGTGAGATACAGCTCCGTGTCGGGGTCGTCGTCGTCATCCTGGTCGAGGAACTGCACGTTCGAGTCGTTGACTGGGCGACACCGACCGACGGGGAGGAGGGAGGCAGAGCAGGCCAGGAAGGGAAGGGAGGGAGGGAGGCAGGAAGGGCAAGCAGGTCAGGGCAGGGAGGGAGGGAGGGAGAGTAAGGCAAGGGAGGGCGAAAGGACGAGAGTGAGTGTGACGAGACGGGTGGGCGGGGAGGGGGGAGCGTTGGTAATGAGAGAGATGTCAGGGTGAGTGTGGTGCTTCTTCACGGCTCACACACAGCTCGCACCATTACGAGCATGTCATCCAAGTCCATCGGGGTTCATCGACTCGACTTCAAGGCATTGGTCAGTGTGGGTTGGTGTTGGCGAGGAATCCAGGACTGGTTAAAATATCACTCGCCACTGATGCTCGCCATTGCTTGGAAACAAACTCGGGTTTCCAAGTTCACAGTCCAGCGCAAAAGCATTGTACCACTGCTCAACCCAGGAAACTCGACACATCCCATCAGGTCAATTCCACCCTCTCCAAATACTAAGACGCAGATATGGTTGTGGTTAGGTCACTCCGGGTGTGTTGTTGGCCACCTATCCACTCGTGTGTCATTCCGGCCTTCATCGGCATTCACGGACAGCAACGCTTGCCCCCAACAGCCTGTTGAAGGCTATAGAGGGGATCTTTGCCTGTGTCGTATACTGCATACGCAAGTGCCGTGCGTACGTGTGTGTGTGTGTGTGCGCGCGCGCGGTTACGTACCGAGTTCTGTGATCATGGGTACTCCGGACCCGTTGGTGACGGAGGGCTGCCGTGTAAGACCGTGCACGGGGCTTGTGTCCGGGGTAGTGCGGTCCATGCCGGGCGGAGTGAACCCTGCAGGTCAACCGCACAACATGAGCAGCGCATCCAGCGAGGTCATTACAACCGGTGAGATCGTTACGATAACAGAAATCAATACAACTTGAGAAATCGTTACTATGAGATATATCACTACAAACAGTGATATCAATTGAACAAGTGATATCATTACAAACGCAGAGATATTTCTACTCAAACTCGAGAGATAAATACACGCATCGGAAGTATTACACCAGGGGTGATACCATAACAGCGAGTTCAGAAATCGTAGCCGGGGAATTATTATGCTTGGTGAAGTCAGAGTCACACGGGTTTGAAATAGCCGGAGCTAAGCGATACATCACACCAGCTGAATGACATCATCACACCCGGGGGTAATCGTCGAACTGAGTGAAGTATTTACACCCACTGACAGCGCGTGGTGATATCCTTACCACCGCTGAAGTCGTCACATTTCGTAACTTTACTGCACCCTTCGATGAAGGAGGGTCATTACCCAAAACACCACCTAATTTGAAAAAGACAAAGATCCCCCGTATAGTCTTAGCAAACTGTTGGGGCAAGTGCTGTTAGCGAGCACCCATCAAGGCCGGCACGGCACACGGGGGGGTGGGTGGCCGGCACCACGCCCGGCCGCCTTTGTCTCCCGAGTGGTGATGTTTACACACAGGCACCAGGTACTCGTTTTAGCTGAGTCGACCTAGGGGAGGTCCAGGACCAGTTTGGAAAATCGTCACTGGTGTTGGCCATGAGCGGGAACCGAACTCGCCGAGTTTGTAGCGCAGCGTAGCGCTCACCGCTACATCACCGCTACCCACGTAACCTCTTGACGTCTCACACAGACACACACGCGCACACCCGCAGACTGTTACTGACGAATATTGATGCGCTTCAACAAGCGCAGTCACCGTACCCACGCGGAGAAACCATAGCGACTCGGTTCAGAATCAGAAACGTCAATGAGACTGGACAAATCCGATGGGCTATGAAGCTCTTGTTCACAGATGTCCAGTTGGAGGAGAAGAATGCGAAGAAGAAGAAGCAGACACCGATTTGGAAGTGCAATCGCGATTTTAATCGTCACAGCCGCAAAGGAGGAAACGAATCTTGACTTAAAGCTTTCGTGAATGCAGGAATACATATTTTATGGGTCTTTCGGTAAAGCCACGTAGACATAAAAAAAATAAAAAAAAATTATCACGACGTTTCGATCGCAACACAAGCAATCGTCTTCAGGTGATACGATTGCTTGCGTTTTTCTATTTACGTGGCTTTCCCGAAAGACCCACAGAACATGAGGAGACGGATGTTTCCGAGTCAACGCGTCACGTTTGGGAACACGTTTCAGCTCTCGGGGAAACAAGGCCGCGTGGCTCGTTACCGCGCGACGTGGAATCAGGGGCAGCAGAGCAAGAGCAAGGCGGGTCGAACACAAGGCGAGTTTGCGTGTGTGGGTTTTTTTTATCTTTCTTCTGGGGGCAGGAACGTCGGCAAGACACTGAGAATGCGTGAGGGGGGGGGGGGCGAGGGGGGGCGTGCGGGCGATGTGGCGCACGCTGAGAAAATGGAAAGAGGGGCCGCGACACGCGCTACGGTGCCGTGGCAGTCACCTTCTGCCAATGGAACAGGATACAAGTCATTAAATATGTTCGCAGACAAACCTTAATGGAATTTGCTTCGAGAGCCATTTCTGTCCCCAGTGATTGGCTCGCCCGAGGGCACGAATATGTGTCAGCTTGAATCGGGGAGTAAGGGCCCCCCGCTCGAATCGGGCTGACAACTCCCTCCCGTCGGGCCCCGTGCTGAAGAAATGGTTTTGATTGCCAGGCGGTGGTGGGGTGCGGAGATGCCTCGCGCGCGCGTGTGTGCGCGTGTGTGTACAGGTGTGTGTGTGCGCGTGTGTGCGCGTGTGTGTACAGGTGTGTGTGTGTGTGCGCGTGTGTGTTGTGCGTGTGTGTGCGCGTGTGTGTACAGGTGTGTGTGTGTGTGCGTCTGTGTACAGGTGTGTGTGTGTGTGCGCGTGTGTGTGTGCGTGCGTATGTGCGCGTGTGTATACAGGTGTGTGTGTCCGCGTGTCTGTGTTTTGGTGGGGCCTTACCATCAGCCCCACCAAAACTAAGCACCTGCTTGGATATTTTGTACCATCGAACACTCCACCCCCACAACTCCCAATCGGTGATGGGGCAGTTGTGGAGAGAGTGGAGTGTTTCCCATACCTGGGCAGTGTGCTTATGACCGGCTCCAGTTTAACAGCAGAGGTCTCACTCCGAATCAGTCGAGCGGCAATATCTTTTCATCGGTTGCGTAACGCTGTGTGGAAGCTACCTGGTCTGTCGCTCCGCACTAAGCTTCAGGTCTTCTCGGCCACGGTCATTCCCTCCCTTCTCTATGCTTGCGAAACGTGGACCCCCTAATGGAACATCTTCGCCGGTTAGAAACATTTAGGCTGGCCTGCCTACGATCCATCCTGGGTGTAACCAGACTGGATTGTGTGAGGAGTTCACAAATCCTTGAAAGATCTGGGCAAGGCCCCATCGGTGAGCTCCTTTGGCGGGCAAGGCTGCGATGGCTGGGTCATGTAGCCCGCATGCCCAGCCACCGCATGCCGAAACAGCTTTTGTTCGGCCGGATTGAGGGGGCTGGGCGGGCGCGGCACGGGCTAGAGAAGAGATGGAGTGATGTGGTACAGGAGGACGTGGAGCTGAGTGGACTTGCCGATGACTGGTACCAGCGGTTTCAAGATCGGCCTCTGTGGAGGAGGCTCGTGAAGGACGCTACTGGGCAATTGGAGGCAGTCGCCCTCCAACAACAACGGAGGGCGGAGAAGCGACGCTCACAACAACGAGCGGAGCGCCGGATGGCTGAAGCACAGCAGGTTGGCACAGTAGGGGGCACAGGTGGTGCATCAGCCAGTCATCTCAGTCAGTCGACCCGTGGCACCTGGATCTGCCCCGTGACCTCCTGCCAGCGGGCGTTCGACACTTCACGTGGCCTCAGGGTGCACATAGCCTGGCACAAGCGTCGTGGTGACGTCACCGCCACTTAGTGGCAAATGGCGGTTGTTGTTGTGTGTGCGTGTGTGTGCGCGTGTGTGTACAGGTGTGTGTGTGTGGGGGGGTGGGGAAGCGGTAGTGCAGCGGTTAACGCGCTCCGCTACGAAGGTGACGATTATCTGAACCGGTTCTGGACCTCCGCTAGATCGACTCAGCCTCTAATCAGTATCTGGTGCGGTGTATAAACAGCGCCACGACGAAGACAAAGGCGGTCGGGCGTGGTGCTGGCCACCCACTCCCTCGTGTGTCGTGCCCGCCTTCATACGTGTTCGTTAACAGCACTTGCCCCAACATGCTGTTTAGGTAAAACGGGGATCTTTGTCTTCGGTGTGCAGTTGCACAGTTGCGACGTTGGAAACCTGGGTTCAACCCCGACACCACGCACGGCAGCGCAGGGACGGTGGCGAACTTGTGAGACTCATCCCATGGTCCACCTCGAAATGCCTCACCTCCACACGTCTCGAGCGATCCCCCAAACCCTCACCTCTCTCCACATTCCTCACCCACCCGATTCTTCACCACCCAACTCCAGATGATCAATAATTCCACTGGCGGATCAGCCTGGCCCGTAAGCGGGGCCGCCTCATACCAACACCCTGATCACTCCACCCCTCCAGTCGTGAATCAAATTTAAGATGGAATTCATCATCTTAAAGATCCTCCAGTGACTCGCCTCTGCCTAAGTCTCTCATCCCATGTAACTCTCCTACCTCTCCCCTCCCATCTGACTCTACTCTCTCCTCCACGCACTCTCCTACCTCTCCCCTCCCATCTCACTTCTTGCAGCTAGACTCGAAGAGGGGGCATAGAGTCGACAGCACGGATGACTGGGTTGTACGGAGTTCCAGACTATGGGGTGCAGTAGAGGAAAATGGAGCGACCTCCTGCTGAGTGAAGGTTGACTGCGGGCTTTTACAGGGAGCTTCGTAGATTAGGATCTGGCACATTCCGAGTGATTTTTGTTCAACGGGGAATGAAATGTAATTAACGTGGACTGCGGGTGCCTTGTGACTGCGGCTGTACCTGCTGCACTACCAAGGCACCGCAGAGTGCGTGTGAGGCTTTGTGTGTTCGTGCTGCGTGATCGCTGTAAATTAGTGCGCCCGTGCACCTGTAATGACCGAGAATTGAGGGAGCAGGGAAAGATATGATGGGAGGGAGGGGAGTGGGGTCATACTGGTTCGGGGATGTTCAGATGCCCATCATAATTACTAGTGGGGGGGGGGGGGGGTCGTGTAATTAGTGTCAGCTGCGGAGCTGGGTGTCGGCTCTTAAACTCCGATATAAGAGCCGGGTTCAGAGACAGGAGGCGCCTCTCTCTCTGCGTGTCGCTGCTGCCGCATCTGAGGCAATGGGCTTCGCCACAGCTCGTCTTCCTCCACCTCTTTGTCTGCGCGGGTGACGCGGGAGACCCGGGGATACCCAGACCCGGTGGAGACAGAGACACGTTGTGTACCTGCCTGGATCTTGTACGCGTTGGACGTAAGCCCTGTGAACGGTGCTGGACGTACCCCGACTCTTGCCTAACGCCACGTAGCGGTCATAATAAATCATTGCCCTTTGTCCGTCCACTGCTGAAGGAAGGCCACCCCCACACTGTGTGGGTGTGGATTTATAACCACGATGGTCAGTGCGGGTTGGTGGAGCGGGGAGGTGGGGGGGTAGGGCAGAACTGGTTCACTGATGTTAGCCGTGGCCGGGTATCGAACTCGGCTCGCCGGGGTGCGTTGCGTAAGAGCGCTGACCGCAGTCGAAATCAAACGACATAAAAATCGCCAATAACTTGTAGATTTCTTCCTAATGTGTGTTTTGTTGTGCCGTCTGAGACTCGAAGAAGAGGGCGTCGCCTCTCCGCACTGCTTGCCAGCTGTGCGGCTGTTTGCTGCAGCACGTGTCGTTGGTTTGTCGGCATTTAGGGTGAATTAAAAACAGCACCGTGCACACCCCCATGCCCATTCTCCTGCTCCTAACACCGTTTTCAATATTTAATGCGATTTTTTATGAAAAACTTTCAGGCGGAGTTTTAAGATAAATCATTACAAATGCATGAAATTCAATGCAAATCGCCGAAAAATCGCGTGCCTATAAATCATGTAGAGCCCTTTCTTTTATTTTGAGACATTAATCCGCACGGACAAAATGCGGTCTGCGTGAGATAACATCTGTCAAATCACATGACCTTTTTTGTCATATCACATGACCGTGAACGGCGGCGCTGTGATCTGATCGAGGCTGGCAAGCGGCAAACCGCACTCGGGCAAACGTAATAACGTGGAAACGCGCCGCGCGCGGAGAGGGTCAGTCCTGCTGCGCTGTCGCCGCCGCTGCTGCTGCCGCTGCTGTACACCGCTGGCCTGGTGGCCTGGTGAGTGTCGCAGGGTGGCAGGCTACGGGTGAACGCACGCACCCACGGAGATCCACGGGACCAAAACCCCGAGTGCACGCTACCCATTCAGCCCCCCCCCCCCCCCCACACACATCTCCCGATATTTAATCTCGATGGCGCTGTTGGCGTCACGTCGCGACACGCCGACGTTGTCGCTCAAAGTCTCTCGCGAAGCGGTGCAAGGCTTCGTGTTGTGGACAACGGCCCACTGAAGCGGATGTTGCGAGGCTACCTCTTGGGATACCTGCAAGTGGACGCTCTGAGAGTGACATTTTCCGCATGATAGTCGAGCCGATATTTTAATTCCTCGAGCTGGAGTTTTGCGCAAAAATTATACGCGGAACCAAATATTAAATGTGATTCTTTTTGCGTGTGTGTGCAATCATTGGTGACCGGTCTGAGACCATCAATGCACTACCCTTGAGAACCCGGTGTCAAAACCCAGGCGGTTGCCTGGATTCGAACCCAGGGCCTCGGTGAAGCCAGCTCAACAGCACGTCACTCTGAGCCAGAGGTGCCCGGCGGGTAAACAATATATTGTTGGGGGGCATGGATGCCCGCAGGGATGGGGGAGGCAGGAGTGGGCAGTAGTTTATACAATCTTATTTTTGTAAAGTATTGTTTAGTAACTCACCAAGTAGTAACTCGAATCTAACCAACTAGAGTGGCTCTTTCCGCCAGCAGCTGCGCGAGTGGGAAATTGCAGGGGCTGCGCCTTTAGCTTCTCGGGAGGATCTGACGACGAGCGGCACGTGCCGGGAGCCGGGCACGGCGAGGCCGCAACGGGGTGGTGAGTGGGGGCCCCGAACTAAGCGCGAGCACCCCCCCTAGCGGTCGTGCGGAATCGCTGCACACAGAACGGGGTTCGTGGGGAGCCTAAATTATTTGTTATTTTAGCAGGTAAGGCTAAAACTGAGCTATGTAGCGCTTTTTCAGAAGCGACCTGGCTATCACATAAATGATAGATCGACGAGGTGGCTTATCACGTGGAATTGTATAACCCGAGACAAATTCTCTAAACGCGTGATGTTGATTTCTAAATGTGGAGGGGGAAATCGGAGGACCTGGAGTAAAAATCCACGCGACCACGCAGGCAGAGAGAGAGAGAGAGACACCGCAAACTCCAAATATACAGCAGCAGCAGCAGGCGTCAGGGTTGTGATCGAAACCACGACCTCCTGCATACCAGGCGAGGGAGTTCACATCTGGCCACCGCGGAGTAGCTACAATAGTCGTAGTAGCAGTATCGCTATGGGGCCGTCCACAAATGACGTCACGCGATTTAAACTATTGTCATTATAGTGTGTATTAAATGTGGCGCTGCACCCTGATGTCGTAGGAGTGTTGTTTAAACAATTTGTGTTATAACAATTCTATATTTATTTAAAGTTGCGCATTTTGATGTGACGTCACATTTCTCAAACCTCCCCCCCCCCTCGTCACCCATCGTCACAAATGTCTGACCCCCCCCCCCCCCCCCCCCAGGTGCGTGATGTCATTTATGGACGGCCCCTATGATTCTTATGATGGTGAGTATCGTGTGCTCGTCTTGCCAAGCCAGGCGACAGCCGATTCATCAGCAGAGAGAGGGAGGGCGATCGCTCGTACGCGTTTGCCAGGGCCCAGATTGTTTATCTCCAGTTCCAGCCAATGCAACATTCTCCTCTCGCTAGATGACAACGTTCATTATCTTTGCTATTAACGCGCTCTGAAATATGCAGGTTATTTATTTTATTTATTTTTCCACATTGCACCCCTACCACACGCCCAATCCACGCAGCAAACGCCCCCCAATTGCTGCCCACCTGCCCACAAACACTCCCCGTAGAGCCCTTAACAGACTGTTGGGGCAAGTGCTGTTAGCGAGCACCTATTAAGGCCGGTATGGTGCACGACAAGGTTGTAGTCTGGTCAGCGGCAATAACCGAGCGGCCTTTATCTCCCCAGTTTTGATATTTTACGCATCACGCGAGGTACGCATTTCAGGCTGAACCTGGTTTGGGAGGCCCAAACCAGGTTCCGAAATCACTCGCTACTGATGTGAGCAGTGGCCGGGAATAGAACTCAGGTCGCCAGTTTCGTAGTGCAGTGAGCTAACCGCTCTACCCAAGCAATAAAACACATGCAAACAAAGACACGCGCAGACACATATGCAGTTTCTGATTTACATGCACAACCACACATACGCATGCACTTAACGAACACACCGAGGCTGCAACGTGTGACAATGCACATTAAGGAAAAGTTTTCAATTACATGACTATTTAATCTCTGTGCGGAGGCTGTCGCGTCTTGTTTGACAGAGGTGTTCCCGCTCGACGCAGAATTATCAGATTTTGACGCGGGCCTAAGCGGCACGGCGCAAAGTCAATTTGAGTCAAAATCAGAAACAACAGCGGCACCAATTCCTAAAGGGGACGGCGGCGAGCGGGGAAGAAGCAAGTTGGCAGTGGTGCTCCAAGAGATCCAAAAACATGCCAGTACCACTAACATCTTCATTAGCATTTTACTATAATAATACTACATACAATTATTTACTCATGAAAGCCACGCCGAGTCCCGTCTCAAGGCTCGGCTCCCTGGATTGTTTGAGATGTTTGGCCAATGCCATTAATGAGCGCTCAGGGTTCGCGCGCGTGAGAAAATCACCTGCCAAGATCGTCCTCTAACACACGTGACTCGTGCATTGTTTGGTCTAACACACGTGACTCGTGCATCGTTTGGTCTAACACACCTGACTCGTGCATCGTCTGCTCTAACACACGTGACTCGTGCATCGTTTGTTCTAACACACGTGACTCGTGCATCGTTTGTTCTAACACACGTGACTCGTGTATTGTCTGCTCTAACACACGTGACTCGTGTATCGTCTGCTCTAACACACGTGACTCGTGTATCGTCTGCTCTAACACACGTGACTCGTGCATTGTTTGGTCTAACACACGTGACTCGTGCATCGTTTGGTCTAACACACCTGACTCGTGCATCGTTTGTTCTAACACACGTGACTCGTGCATTGTCTGCTCTAACACACGTGACTCGTGCATCGTCTGTTCTAACACACGTGACTCGTGCATTGTTTGGTCTAACACACGTGACTCGTGCATTGTCTGTTCTAACACACGTGACTCGTGCATTGTCTCCGCGGGAGTTTTGAATGCCCGTATCTCAAATGAGCGGCACGATGACAAAAGGTGCAATTGGAATCAAATGTGCTCCTTCTTTGTGTGCGTAACTTTTGTGAAAGCACGAGAGGCACAGAGAGGAGCACACGACTTTGAAACGGCGCGCAACTTGAAGGCCACGTTGATCGTGAAGGACAGTGTGGGCTTGCACAATAGCTGTCGCTGTGAGAGGTGACGGCCTTGGTCCAGACTATGGACAGAGCGACAGCCAAGGGAGAGAAGAGCTCCAAAGGGTACGTCCACCGCTACAGATGGGACGATATCACATCAGTTCGCTTGTATGCAGGAGTTAGGTGGATTGTTGCACCACTATCCATTGGTGGACACTGCTCGTGGTGGACACTGCCCGTGGTGGACACTGTCTGTGATGGACACTGTGTTGGACACTGTGGTGGTGGACACTGCCCATGGTGGACACTGTGATGGACACTGCCCGTGTTGGACACTGCGGTGGACACTGCCCATGGTGAACACAGTATTGGACACTGCCCGTGGTGGACACTGCCCGTGGTGGACACTGCCCGTGTTGGACACTGTCTGTGGTGGACACTGCCCGTGGTGGACACTTGTAGCAGCTGCAACCACAGGTAGTACCGACCAAACAGCCAAACCCCGTTAAGCTCAGGGGCCCAGTGGTGTCCAGCGCGATCACCTTGAGAGTTGGCCTGCAGAAGGCCGATGCTGTCGTCAAAATGCATGGACTTGATGTTGAGTGAGGCGAGGATGCACTCCTTGTCCTGCAGGGACGGGTCCTCGATGTTGTTCTGGTTCGCCGACAGGATGACGCACATGTCGCACAGGTTGATGTTGACAGCCCTGAGGTCGGCGCGGCTCAGCGGCGCGCCCTGTGCCAGGGAGCGGAGGCGTAAAGAGGTCGAGTTAGCGGGGATGGCACGCACGGCATGATCACCGCCGGCATTAAAGGTGCAGCCCTCAAATAGCTTGCTCGAGCCATTGCTGGCGGAAGGGCCTCTGCTGCAGGGAGCTACAGAGAGGCGCCCACCCAGAGGGTATTTGGCCTACTCTAACAAGCTGGCCATACACATGTGGGGTGTTTTTTTTAACGCAGGAATTAGAAAGGTTATTGGTTGTTTCACACGGGAGCACAGCATCAGCAGCAGCAGCAGCAAGAACAGAAGACAAACACATCGACATCGCCGAGCTCGAGCACCGAAGGATTACTGCGCAACAAACGATGAGATAAAAACAAATGTATCACCAGTTTTTCAATGGGTGTATGAACACGGTTGTTACCTAGTAGCAGCATTGCCCCCCCGCCCCTACTGGCAGACTCATGCCCAGTTGATGGAGGCGTTCCGGCCACTGGGGGGTGCCCTTGGCACTGCAGTGGGTGAGCTGTGTGATGCACGGCGCCTCGAGATGCTGACGCATTAGGAGCCCTCGATGTGCAAAGCCGTGTCCTCGTATTTGCATAATTAAACACCCAACGAGAGAGAGGTGAAGAAACTGCCAGGTTGGTAGCGCCACTTCTGGCAGCGTAACTTATCAACGTCACTTCTGGAAATGTGGCGATGATTAAAACTTGGTCCTGAGCCACCCCCCCTCCCTTCCCCCATAAGGTCGACTCAACAGCCTTAACCGAGTACCTGGAGCGGTGTATAAAACATGAGGACGAGGAAGACAAAAGCGGTCAGGCGTGGTGCTGGCTCCACCACCCTCTCATGCACTGTGCCGGCCTCCATAAGGCACTTTGGCCTTATGGAGGCACACGTAGGCCACACGGAGGATTTACCGGGTAATGCCATCGCAGTCGCTCGTAATCCAAGTGTGGGTTTGCGGGTTGGGCAGCGCGTGGGGAATCTCCTCTCAAGCTTCCGCCTACGGACCACTTGCGGGGGCAACTTCTACAACGGTTGAATTCTACCCCACCCCCCCCTCCCACCCCCGGACGATTGCACCGCAACTCAACAACGCCTGACAGTGCCTGCAAGTATCTCGGCAGAAGGAATGCTCCACGTAGAAAACCGCGCTGGGATCGCACGGGCCGAGAGACCTTTGCCTCGCGTGCAACTCGGAGCTTGCTCGCAGCCCCTCTGTGCGCCGTGCCAGATGCATGCCGATCCCTGTCTTGCACGTAACTCACGGCCGTGACCTCGAGCGGAACGGCGAACTCTCCCGTGGGCCGTCTCACCGGGATGATGGAGATCTTGGGGAAGTTGTGCAGCGACTCCCACTCGCGGCGGATGTACTCGAGGCTGCCCACGAACACGATGTGCTTCAGCTCGTGGTAGTGGAAGTTGCTCGCGCGCAGCGGCATCACGAAGTTGCGCAGGCCGATGAGCGCCGACTTGGCGTCCCCAAAGATGCACACGACCACGTGGCCACTCAGCACCGTCATGGACGCCTCGCTGCGCGTCTTTGGTGCGGGGGGGTGGGGGGGGGATGTCAACACGAGGCAGGAGGATGTGTCAGGCTGAGACGTTGGCAGCCTCTTTCCTATGAGACTGCGCCAACTTATCGGGTGAATGTGTTATACTACTTCGTAAACGCTAACATTTCTCAAGACTTTTGGAATGCTCTCCAGCTAATGTTGGGAGCCGTACTGCATTATTTTGCGTTCGTCCCTATGTCTGCCCATCTAGTGTGTCATACAGGACTCAATATAAGCTCATAAACAGGTCCAACCGTAAGTGCTAATGACTACGTTGGGAATATATGCCCTTTATGCGTGTGTACGTGTGTGTGTGTGTACGTGTGTGTGTACGTGTGTGTGTATGTGTGTGTACGTGTGTGTGTACGTGTGTGTGTACGTGTGTGTACGTGTGTGTGTGTACGTGTGTGTACGTGTGTGTGTGTACGTGTGTGTGTACGTGTGTGTGTGTGTACGTGTGTGTGTACGTGTGTGTACGTGTGTGTGTGTACGTGTGTGTGTGTACGTGTGTGTGTACGTGTGTGTGTGTGTGTAAGTGTGTGTGCCCCCTACAGTCTGTTAAGGCTATATGGGGGATCTTTTTTTGTGTGTACGTGTGTGCGTGTGTACGTGTGTGTGCGTGTGTGTGTACGTGTGTATGTGTGTGTGCGTGTACGTGTGTACGTGTGTGTGCGTGTGTGTGTGTACATGTGTGTGCGTGTGTGTGTGTACGTGTGTGTACGTGTGTGTGTGTGTACGTGTGTGTGCGTGTGTGTGTGTACGTGTGTGTGTGTGTACGTGTGTGTATGTGTACGTGTGTGTGTGTGTGTATGTATGCGTGCGTGTTTCTCTACCAGAATAACCCTCTCGATGTCGCGGGATGGACACCAGTGGAACATGCCAGTCGAGTCGTACTTCTTGATGTTGCAGTCCATGTCCTCTGCTTTCTCGGTGCCTGGGATGGCCAGCAAGTCATGCCTACGCAGCACGTGTATCGGTACACAAAGTGACACATCCATGACGGTGAGAATAGCTCTCAGGCTACCGAGCATAGCCACATTTAACAAAGCACTTATGCTTCTCTGCTTTATGTAAACTCTGGAAGGTGAAAATCATGCATACATCAGCTTAATTTCAGTTTAACACGCAGGCTTTCGTGACCAATATTATTCGTAATAAAGGTTTTTGGGTTAGATTGCAATAGTATAAATGTTGCGTCGTAACCCTCCACCACCCGACACAGCCAATTAGTAGGGGATTTGTCACGTAAACAAAACGCCAATTAGTTACTACTTCAGCCCACCAGTGTGTTGGAGAGTAAATCCACAACATTTACAAATTGAGTACGACGTTTTGAATTGGCATCATTCAAACCCCCTTTGTTGCTCAGTCTCATATCGCAAGCCAGTCCGGTCCAGACCACCGGTCACCAAACCTCAGCCGCCCCAACCCTAACCATAACCCCCCCGCCCCACCCCCCAGTCCTCCATGTGCAACACCGCACCAATTTCTATTGGCGAGTCGTTGCGTATCCACGTGTATCGTCGCCGCAACGCTGCACCGCATTCGGCCATTCTTCCTGCACGGTATCCACGCCGCGGCTTACGCCCTTCCCTTAACGTTGGCTCGAGCGGCGTGTCACCGCCGGACTGAAAGAGGCCGAGGGACTGCTGCTCTACGCCCACTGCAGTCTACCAGCGGCCCGGAAAATATTCCTCGGCGAGAAACGAAGCCCTGGCAGATCGTCACCGGAGTTACCTGATGACGCGGGGTGGCGACGAATTGGGCGTCGTTCGGACCGCTCCGTTTTTCTGCTTCTTGTTGATGGGAGAGAGAGCTGAGGACTCATCGACTGAGGGGGGCGTGGGGGTAGGGGGGGGGATAGCAGGGTCAAAGGGCAAAAGCGAGGACCATGCACACTCGCAAGCATTGGCGACTCGGCATGCGGTCGCGTCACTCCCGTTAGTACTGCTCTACCACGGTATCGCCATGCACCACGTGTTTCGTGAAGTTTGGACGTCTGCGACCGAACTTCACGAAACTTATGCCACGTTACATTTATTACAAAAATACACAAAGCCCTCTTTTTTTTGTGTCAAGTCACTGCCAGGATGAAGACCTCCATGCTCTACTGAGAGGTGTGTGATTGTCTGACCGTACTTTACCACGCGGGTCAGTGATAGTTGAAGTGGTGGTGGTGTGGGTCGGGGAGGCAAGGAGACTCAGGACGAGTTCAGATTTCACTCCCTACTGATATCAGCAATGTTTGGAAGTTGAAGTCGCGACACGGGAGAGCAGAGTGCTGTGTGCTAACCACTCTGCCATCCCCTCGTCACTGCATAGTAATTCCTTTGGACAATGGACAATGGAAATTGGAAAAGCAATCCGGCGCTTTGTAAAGAACAAAATGTAGATTCTGTAAAAAAAAAAAATAAACCAACGCGCCACGGTGGAATATTTCAGGTGGAACGCGATGATGACCGCCAATCGATTTGCGCGTCCAGAGATAAACGATGGAAATGAAGAGGGGAGTCGGGGCGTGGGACGCGGGGCGAGCTCGCTCCAGAGCGATGTTCGTGGAGCGCTGCCGCGTGACTGCGTGAGTGGCGTCGGTCGTCACAGACAGGCAGATCTGCAGATAAGAGCAGGTAGCTGAAAAAGAGACGATCCTGGGAAGAAGAAAAACACCAGGACAGGTGGCAACCCTACCCCCCACACGTGTACACAGTGCCCTTGGACGATGTGCACAGCGCAGGGCGTCGCCATGTGTACATGTACACGTGTACATGTCAACGTGTACAGCCTTTCGTCAATCCACTGGTGGATGAAGGCCTCTCCAAGACATGCAGGTCATTCGGGTCTGTTTGACCATACTTCCCCATTCTGGTCAACGTTGATTCGGTGAAGGTGGGCAGCATAGACGGAGTATAGTACACAGGGACGGCCCTAGACTAGCTGCCAGCAACTGGCGCCCTACGGCGAACCATGCGATCGGAGCCCCAAACCCCAAGGGCAGATCCAGGCTGAGGTTTTTGGTAAACTGGGAAACAGATGCAGAATGACTCGGTTTGTCCGTCCATCCATCTGTCCAACCAATACATTTTCATAAATGTTGAGAAATGCACGGGAATTGAAATAATATCTTCGTTATTTTGTTTAAAATTTTTGTAGTTTTTTTCCCCCTCCAAGTTGGCGCCCCACTGAACTTGGAGCCCGAGGCGACCGCCTAGTTCGCCTATATGGACGGGCCACCCCTGATAGTACAGTACAACAATGACTTACCACACTGCCCTCTGCTGCCTTACTGCACTGCCCTCTACTGCCCATATTGCATTGTGTATCCATGAAGACTGTGATTGTGTAATCATACCAGTTACATGCCGTATTGAATTTAAACGGGTTTGTTTGACCCTACGATAGAGAAACCCCAGGATAATTTAAGCCCCCACGGAATGCAAAACACGTGGACTGCTGCTGTACGGGCCGGTGAACGCACAACGCGCAGAGAAGTCCTCAGATGTCACCCGGCCCCCCTCCACTGTGGCCCAAGAGGTCAGAGCGCTCAGTCAGCAGCACTTAAAAACTGCGTTCTCAAGTTCTCGTGCGCTGACTGCCTAGGCCCCGGTCACCGCCAAAGGCTGCACATAAGTTGGTCTTCAATTTGGTTGTGAACCTCCAGCTACAATGGGACAAAACCACATCTCGTGCGAGCAGAGCGTGCGAGGGAGTGTGCGCCGAGGGCTTCCGTGAGGATCCTCTTGCCCCGTGAGCTGACGCCAGTCGATCGGCCGGGGGACTCGGTTTGGGAAGGAGACCAAAAGGGCGCGCGTAGAGGGAGAGAACGCCGCTGCCACGGTGACGAGGGGCGATTTGCTCGTGGCGGAGGCGACTTTGCCGCGGGACGCTGTGGCCACAGGCGGCGTGCGAGATGCGCTGCATCGGAGGTAACTCAGCGGCGGTGCACTCTTCCGATTTGGCTCCGCGTAACGGTAAAATGATGACGCTCGCAAAAAATAAATAAGTAAACATCCAGCAGCGACAAAAAAAAACGCAGAATTTAAACGAAAATGTGTAAAAGCAATATCTGATGTGATAATTAAAATATAAGGAAGAATCGTTAAAACAATACACCTAAGAAAGCAGATCAATTAGAAGCCAATTGTTGTGGCCAGCAATCTAACTGGGGTCACCGAGTACAGAGCGTTAACCACTGCGCCACCGCTCCACCCATGATACCTTAACACTTCCCCGTTATTGCTTTCCGACAGTTGTGGCTCAGATATTTGGACTTTTTATTTTACTTTTGATGACCCAGGTCACTCGCTCTTGCAAGTGAGATCCGTGTACACTGTTGAGCTCTCGCCTACTTCAACAAAATAAACTACCCCGAGATATCATTGTAAAGGTACAGCGCTGCATACTCTTTGGTTCTTTCGGTAAAGTCACGTAGGTAAAAAATTAAATGAAGTTAATCAAATCACGACGTTTCGGAAGCAACACAAGCCTCCGTCATCAGGTGGGATAGTCACAGCAAGAAGTCATTTGCTGCCCACCTGATGACGGAGGCTTGTGTTGCTTCCGAAACGTCGTGATTTGGTTAACTTTATTTTATTTTTTACCTACGTGACTTTTACCGAAAGAATATGGATCATTGCAGTCACGAAAATTTCAAATCCAGAATAAATGCAGCCCTGCAATTGCTGATTTGTGCCAGTGCTAGTAAAAAGGGCCTCCAGTCAAGGAAGCTCCAAAGGGTATTATCAGACTCGTTCTTCCACCCTGGTTCAGTTATTCATTCATCACTTAGAGAGCGACGTAACAAAAAGGTTTTGGCAACTATACAGCGTGGCAAATATGATTGACGGGGCGGGGTGGGGGGCTAATCCGTGTTAGCCCCCGAGCTGCACGCTGTCCGAGGCCGTGCGCCCTGGCTATAGCCGATTGGCGAGCCAATCGCGCTCTCACAACCACGTGCCGGATTTGCGATCGGCGCGAGTGTACAGCTGCCAATCTCCGTGTGGACTCTGAAATGCAGCTGAAGTCATTTGCACTCCCGGATGGCTTTCGGTTTCTGCGGTCGACTCGCCCGCGTGTTTGTTCAGCGGGCAAGCGGTTCAGAATGGGGTCGAACTCATCTAGCGATGTTTACGTCAAGCTCGTCGTAGACGCGACTGCCCTGCCCCCCCCCCCCCCACAACACCGTCATAGGAACGTGGAACTTCCTCCACCGGATCGGGGCCACCAAAGGTTTGATGAGTGGCACCCAACATTCGTTTAAGCTTTGGGGCACGATCACCTCGTGAACGTGGCTTTGGTCAACCTACGTTTGCTCTCTTGGCAGGCTGCATGGCCCACATGGTTTGCATTAACTGTATAAAAGATGTGCTGCGTGCTATTAATTTGAAGGTAATGGCAGTGGTTATGATGGCAGGTCGGAGGGCACTAACTCTAGAGCAATGCAAAAAAGCAAAGTGGTTGCATTTTCAAAAACGAAACGAAGCAAAGCAAATAACTTACGTGATTGGATTAATCCATTAACAAAGTACTTGGCTGAAAAGAATGAAAATGATAAACACGAAATTATGTTGAGAGAACAGAAATGGAAAAGCACAAGGATAGCACAATGAAGAAAACGAGAGAATGAGCGCACACAGTTTTGCATCCCTCTAAATGTCCGTCCGATGATTATTATTGTTTCAAGTAACCTATGTTTTTTTTTGTCTCGTATGTCACGCGGACACAATTGCAACGTTTTTCATGGCAGGTTGAAGCACTCGCAAGAGCGTTGGGGTACACTGCATTCTAAAACAACAAGGACACCATTGTATAGTGAAAACAAAAGCTTAGCCATGGATAAATAAATAACAACAACAACATCGCTGCGTAGGTGTTCGCAGGCTGTGCTATACGGCTATTCGACTGTGCTTTTGAGTCGCCCTGCACGGTGTACGACATGATGTCCGATGTTTCGCTGCTAAATAATTCACTCTCTGGAAAAGCTCCGAGGATGCGGCGCGAAACGTCGGACATCGAAGCCCAACAACACGCGGTAGGTGACAACCCGAAAACACGTCCGAGAGGAGCCAACAAGAAACATCTTTTTTCACAAAATCCTTTCAGACGTTCGACCAAGCGCTGCCTTCTACACAAACAGCCGAGCCAATAAGCAGGCGGACGACGAAACACAGCGAGTGCATGCGACGTGAGCCACGCGTGACATCACGTGACGGCAAAGACGGGACGAGACGGGACAGCGACGGACGGACGGACAGGCGGAATGTCAAACTTACAGGTGCGGAAAGTGGTTGGGAAATCATGAACAGAGAGGGACGAGAAGGGTGGCACCGTCCTGTCGGTGTACCGCGGGGAGGTGGACATGCAACATGCTTGTTTCAGCCTCTGGTAGAATGACGGCTTGACTGGGATGTGGTGGAAAAGGAGGAGGGGGAGGGAAGGCAACGCAGTGTTAGTCCACAAACAGGGGAAAGTATTGGAGGGGTGGGCGGAGAAGTGAAAGAAACAACAAGAGGCAGAATGAGAGAACAATAAATGAAAATGTAAAAATGGTCAGAAATGCACAGAGCCAGGTTCCATCACCTGGTAGTTAACCCCTTGTGTCAAGGTCGGCAAGGTGTGGGCATCTTTATAATAATTAAAATGATGATGGACACTCATTTATAGGCCTTTCTCAGTTCATTAGCGGATGAAGTCTTCCCCACGCCGTGTCCGTCACGGGCGTTTTTTGACCATACTTCACCGTGCTGGTTCTTTTTGCGGGTTGGTAAAAATAAGGAAGGCCCCAGGACCGGTTCAGATATCATTCGACGCTGCTGTCGGCCGTCGCGGGGAACAGTTAGAATGGTTTTTACACGTCAAACCATGTGCTTATTTAAGGCTGAGCCAACCTAGGGGAGGCTCAGAACAGGTAAAAAAATCACTCGCTACTGACGTTGACTCAGGTCACTGGGTTCAAAGGGCATTGCGCTAACCACTGCGCCACCTCCCCCTCTGCCCCAGCATTGTAATAATGTACAGCCTTTGTCAATGCACTGGTGGAGGCAGAGTTCCCCATGGTGTATATGTATTAGCACATTCACATTAGGGCACTTGCTATTGATTCCCAGCTGCAACAAGCGTAGAGCCAGTGCCTCGCATCACTGGATGCAACGTAGTATAACGACTTCACACGTCGGTTTTCGCAGCCAACGTTATGAGCCATAATTGATACTTGGGTTAGGCTACATTCATTACGCGTCCGAACTCAAAAAAATCAATTACGAATTGTGGCAATGACCCCCGAATACATCCTGCGGCAAAAAAAGATTAATATCGACAAAGCAAATGCAAATTATTTACGCCGGAAAGCCTCGCTGGAATCTCAAGATCCGTTTTCGGGATGGGTACCCGCTACATCCGGGGGTGTTCGGCCCATTCCAAATCAGCGAGCGTCTGGCTTCATGTGGAATGAGTACCCATCATGGGCCCTGCCAACACGCCACCACCGCAACACTGTGGCAGGAAGCGGAGGGCAGGGTTGGGAGTGGGATGAACCACTTTGCTGAGCTGTCAATTTGTGGTAGCCAGATTCGCTTCCACAAACTAAGTTAGTACCTCAGTGGGCTTTGCCTGGTAGGATGTGGATGGTTTAGTTGCATCTGCATGTTATTTGGATGATGTGTTTGCCTTTGCCTGCACTTTGCGCTGCTATCGCGTCTTTTGCATTATTTGTTCTTGTAACGGTCTTACCCCGTGCCCCTACTGGAGATCTGTGAAAAGAAAAGAGCTTCATGACTCATCGGATTCCTCCAGCAGTATAACCAAATATTCTGACTCTGAAAATGTCCCACGAGAAATGCAACTGTGGCTATGAGCTCGCCATCCTCGGGTTTCAGCAGCAACCTGCCGTTCGTTCATTGGCTGTTCACGGTGGTGGAGGAAGTCCTCGCGCGGTTGGCTGACTCCCCCTGGCGTCGCCTACGCTAAATCGCCGCCACTAAGCCCTCTGGGCTCCCTTGGCCGTGTGCGGATTTCCTGCATGCAGCTCGAACAGTGGAGGTGGATGGGGGGCCAGAGATTCTCAATTCCCGGGCACCGTGCGCCACATTTGCACAGCGGCTGTCCGTGATTACCCAACATCGGGCGCGTGCAGTGCGTGCAAGCGGCCCGATTTGTTTATCGGATTGGAAAGTTTGAGGTCATCGTCAAACAAAAAAAGGTGGTCTGTTGGCCGTGGGAGGGGAGGGGTGTTAAAGGCCTGCGAGGACGGGCAGATGAGAAACAGCGTAATTGGGTTGCCCTTGCACGCCCACGAGCGTGCCCGACTCTCAGTTTCTTATTCCTTGGCAGCTTCATCTTCCTCAGCCGTTGACCTTCCTCCACTCGGCGGTAGAGCAAAGTGGCGCACAATCGCAAGGCTGCGAGTTCAAATCCGGCTTTGGCGGTTGACAGCCCATAGGCCCTCTGGGGTCGATAAAGTGAGCCCCACTTTGTGGGGAAACCAACAGTGGCTGGCCTATGGAGAGACTCGGCCCCGCCACGGGAATGTGTAATTCCCATCAAAGGATCATAGTTGTGAACGGGAGATGAGCACAGCCTCTATGCATAGTTCAGCACTCTGACCGGATTTTACCTGGGCAGCAGCCTCCTCCACGTGTCTCCCACTCTCTCTACGGTCTCTCGCAACTTCCGTCCAGCACGCTCCTTCAACTCTCCTAATCCCATCCTGCCATCTCATCCCGTACTCCATCTAACTGTAATCACCGAGTAGTGGATGAGGCCTTCATTGACACGCCGTACAATGACACAAACTGCGCTTCATGTTGCGACTAACAAAGCTTAATTCAGTTGTGCACAGTCCTCTGGTACCAATAGTGAAACGTAAAGACAGACCGTGCATGCGTAAAAAACCCATAAGCCGAGGCCTTCTGTCGAAGCCCCCAGTCAACCTTCGCTCAGTGGGAGGTCGCTCATTCTCCTCTGCTGCCCCCCAATGTCTGCAAATCCTTAATTACCCAGCCATCCGTACCGTCGACTCCCTACGCCTGTTCAAGGCCAGGCTCGTGACCTGCCAGCGTCTACGAGATGCGGTCGCACTCATGAGCTGAATACATCCAGATTGTGTTGTGATCTATGCATTAAAAGGTTGAGCGCATTCTCTCGAATGCAGGATGGAGAACACGCAGTGCTGTGTTGCCACCCGTCCTGTGTTTTCCAGGACCGTGCTCATTTTGAGGCTAGCTGCTGTCCTGGCAAATCTGTTAAGTCATCCTGGGACATAACAAAATCCAGGTTTTTGTCAGTTGCATAATAATTAATTAAGCAATTACATTCAGTTCTCCCCTCTTTTTGGCTGTCAGATATTATTCTTTACGTAATATTAATTAATAATTATTTATTTACCCAGGAGAGGCACACTGGGTCCTCTCTCAGGAGGGGGGGGGGGGGGTCTCGCATTGCGACGTTTGGTCAACACCGGTTACATTGTTCGTGTGTAGCTATGGGAGGAAGTCGCAGAACCTGGAGAAACCCCACGCAGAACAGGGGGAGAACGTACAAAAGCACAAACAGAAAGGTGCCCAAGTCAGGAAATCAAACCCAGGCCCTTCTTGCTGTAAGGCACGAGAGTGACCATTGTTACCAAGTGTGTGAGTGTGTGTGTGTGGTGACGTCACCGCCACTTAGTGGCGAATGGCGGTTATTGTTGTTGTGGGGCCTTACCATCAGCCCCACCAAAACTAAGCACCTGCCTGGGTATTTTGTACCATCGGACACTCCACCCCCACAACTCCCAATCGGTCATGGGGCAGTTGTGGAGAGAGTGGAGAGTTTCCCATACCTGGGCAGTGTGCTTATGACCGGCTCCAGTTTAACAGCAGAGGTCTCACTCCGAATCAGTCGAGCGGCAATATCTTTTCATCGGTTGCGTAACGCTGTGTGGAAGCTACCTGGTCTGTCGCTCCGCACTAAGCTTCAGGTCTTCTCGACCACGGTCATTCCCTCCCTTCTCTATGCTTGCAAAACGTGGACCCCCTAATGGAACATCTTCGCCGGTTAGAAACATTTAGGCTAGCCTGCCTACGATCCATCCTGGGTTTAACCAGTTTGGATCGTGTGAGGAGCTCACAAATCCTTGAAATATCTGGGCAAGGTCCCATCGGTGAGCTCCTCCGGCAGGCAAGGCTGCGTTGGCTGGGTCATGTAGCCCGCATGCCCAGCCACCGCATGCCGAAACAGCTTTTGTTCGGCCGGATCGAGGGGGCTAAACGGGCGCGGCATGGGCTGGAGAAGAGATGGAGTGATGTGGTACAGGAGGACGTGGAGCTGAGTGGACTTGCCGATGACTGGTACCAGTGGTGTCAAGATCGGCCTCTGTGGAGGAGGCTCGTGAAGGACACTACTGGGCAGTTGGAGGCAGTCGCCCTCCAACAACAACGGAGGGCGGAGGAGCGACGCTCACAACAACGAGCGGAGCGCCGGGTGGCTAAAGCACAGCAGATTGGCACAGTAGGGGGCACAGGTGGTGCATCAGCCAGTCATCTCAGTCAGTCGACCCGTGGCACCTGGGTCTGCCCCGTGACCTCCTGCCAGCGGGCATTCGACACTTCACGTGGCCTCAAGGTGCACATGGTCTGGCACAAGCGTTGTGGTGACGTCACCGCCACTTAGTGGCGAATGGCGGTTGTTGTTGTGAGTGTGTGTATAAGTGTGAGTGAGTGTGTAAGTATGTGTGTAAGTGTGTGTGTGTGGGAGTGTGCTGAGCTTATTTCTGCACCGTACGTCGCCAACCCGCGCTAATCGGAGGTGCGACGTCACGGAGAGGTCACGGCAAGGGCAGCCACGAGGCCGTGGAGAGGAGGCGGCGGTGCAGGGATGGCACGGCAGTGACACGCCCACAACCGAGGCTCTATTTAGACCGCGTGACTCCGAGGTGTTAAGCGCCATTCGTTACGAGGCGAAACAAAACCAAACGTGCACAGTTCCATCAGAGGCAAAGGAGCGGCCCTGAAATGTATCTGCTCGCATTACTGCTGGCGGAAGGGGCTCCAGTAGAGAGAGCTAAAGAGAGCTCCCCTAAGGGGGTATTTACCTACGCTTCCAAGCTCGCCATACGTATGAGACGTACTTTAGAATGTATCGAACTGGTATAAAAAGGATGTATTTCAAATACGTTCGTAAAGTAATGCCTTGAAATAAACACCGTGCCATCCTGTCAACAGCCACTTGTTCTGTTTCCGCGGAAGTTTACTCGCTGTTTTAAGGGGTGCACATTGCAATGCGTGTGTGTTTCTTTGTGTGTCTGTCTGTGTGTGCGTGTGTCTGTGTGTGCGTGTGTCTGTGTGTGCGTGCGTCTGTGTGTGCGTGTGTCTGTGTGTGTGTGCGTCTGTGTGTGCGTGCGTCTGTGTGTCTGTGTGTGCGTGGTTCTGTGTGTGCGTGTGTCTGTGTGTGTGCGTCTGTGTGTGCGTGCGTCTGTGTGTCTGTGTGTGCGTGGTTCTGTGTGTGTGTGTGCGTGTGTCTGTGTGTGCGTGTGTCTTTGCGGTGCTGTCCACCCATCCCCTCGTGTGTGTACCGAGCCGGCCTTCATAGGTGCTACTTGCTGGCAGCGCTTGCCCCCACAGTCCGCTAAAGCTATACGGGGGATCTTTGTTTACTACAGGGTGTTTCAAACTGAAATGACGAAGAGGAAAGCGATTTGTTTTTCTCTTCCCATAAACGGGCTGCTAAAGTGCCATGCGGCTCATATCCGAGGCCATTCCGCAGCTTCAGACACTTCAAAGGCATTGGGTGATTATTCGGACAAATCGTGAAGTGGCATTTTTTTGCTTGGGCACAGTCTGTCCTTTAAAGGGTGTACGGCAAACGGAGATTATTTACCGACTGGCTTTTGCCATGCACGCTGGGATTATGACGATTTTAGTGCATTCAGGTTCATGAGCGTGTTGAAACCGCCAGGTCCACCAATTATCCACGTCTCCTGAAGCTATAGATAATCACGTTCAAAAACGGCAGCCCACGTGCATGTTACCAGGATGGCAGTGAAATGTTGAGGGCGCGCTTGGCTAATGCTGCGCAGCCTCTCCACTCCCCCATGGAATCCGCAACGAGAAGGCGGGCAGACAAAGTGCGTGTGTGTGTGTGCATGTGTGTGCGTGTGTGTGTGTGCGTGTGGGGAGCAGTTAGCGCGCTGCGCTATGAACCTGGCGACCCGGGTTCGATTCCCGCTCACAGCCAACACCAGTGACGATTATCTGAACCGGTACTGGGCCTCCCCTAGGTCGACTCAGCCTCAAATGGGTACCTGGTGCGGTGGATAAAAACATTGCCACTGGGGAGACTAAGGCGGTCGGGCGTGGTGCTGGCCACCCACCCCCTCGTGTACCGTTCCGGCCTTCATAGGTGCTCGCTAACAGCACTTGCCCCTACAGTCTGTTAAGGCTATACGGGGGATCTTTGTGCGTGTGTGTGAATGCGCGTTTTACTAATTTATGAATTCCATCAAGGTCCTGTTCAGCATTGCCAGGTCTAGGTTGCGCTTTTTTGGTGATCGGGCTTTTGTTAGCGTGGCACCTAAGCTATGAAACGCCTCGCTACTTGAAATCGGGCAATCAGAGTCGGTAGTTATATTTAAGTCTGCTTTGAAAACCCATCTTTATAAAGTGGCCTTCACTCTCTCGTTTGGTCGGTTGCCCCAGGTCTGTTTCTGTGTCATGCATAGCGATAAAATGTAATTATTTTATTATTATTACGTGCGTGTCAGCGAAAGCTCCGCTGACCCCCTGTCAGCGGAGCCTTCGACACTTCACGTGACGGCCTCAAAGTGCACCCAGCCTGGCGCAAGCGCTGCGTCGAAGCCACCGCCGCTTAAGTGGCGAGCGGCAGCCGGCGGGCGGCAATCGCTGGCCCCGTCCCCCGTGGGTGCCGAGTGTTTACTCACTTTCCACTCACAACCCACTTGCTCCGAACGCGAGTTCAGATTTTTCCGCAGATGCCCGGGGAGGCCAGGAAGCATTTGACACGATCTGAATCTTAAGAGTTCCTCCACGGCAGCGGCTGTTGGTGGGGTATTATCGCGTCGTTAATAGGTACACGGGCGCAAATTCGATGGTAGGTTTTCCGCCGGCGTACGCGACGCTTTGTTACAAAGCGTTTAGCGACTTGCGGCGACCGTGGAGATGGCGTGCTGGGTTAAGTGACTCACGAGCGGCAAAAGATTAAAATACTAAACCGTGCTCACGCAGAGACGCGTGGGACGCAGACGCGGGGCCACTGACTGTACGTTGTTAAAATACATTTCAGGGGTTTTTTTTTACGAGTTAGGAAAACTCATGCGGACGAACGGATTCTGTCAACGCTTTCCAACACGCAATCGCTCTTTGGAAGTGTTCATTTGGCGGTACGGAGGCTGACGGGTAGCTGGCAGGGCAAAACGCATCTTCAATTTGCTAATTCGACACAATTTCATTTTTAACGATAGCCATTGCTGTTATTTGTATCAGTGTCCCGAGGTGAGTGTTTGTCTTTGGATGTCTGATTGGAAGTGGCATCGAAATGACTCAACCATGAACACTACCAGTCCACGGGACTGCGAGATGGAGATGTTTTGAGAGTCAAGCACTTACATCCTTTACAGCCACATTTCCTGATTTTCTTGGCATCAGAAATGTCATCGTGGCAGGCCTTGCAGTAGAAGAAAGCTCTGCGAAAGAATAAAAATAAGAATTATGCTCATTTTTTTTGTTCACGCGCAGTCATAAACGCGATAATTTCACCAACTATCTTTTAACTTAATAAAATCAGCAACAAAGGTTCGATCAGTCCACAAAATATTGTAATAATACTGCCATTCATTTATCAAGTAAATATATGCGTTAAGCACTATAATCACAAATTAATCATTATTTAAAGCCCTTGATCAGTACACTGTCAGTTGAGTGCCTCCCCATGCACTGCCAGTCTTGATGGTTGTTTGTCCACACTTCACGACTCTGATCACTGTGGGTTTGTGCAGGCAGGGAGCGTGCGGGAAGCAGGACTGGTCGAGGCATCGCTCGCCACTGATGTCAGACGTGGCCTGGGAAGCGAACTTAGGTCGTTAGGTTCACGGCACAGTGCCATGACCGCAATGGCTACTGCTGTTACCCGAAAGTATGTATTCAACAACGAATTTACATTCGAAAAAGGGCACCGTCTCATTTACTTCCAAATTATGAAATATCTTCATTCTCAATGCTACGTCGCGTGTGCTGATGTCACTTTATAGGCCTGACAGCCGAGGAGGCTACGTCTGACCGCTCACTGCAAGCGACGAGGAGTTTTGCATCTGTAACATCTTTCCACGCGCGCATCAACGCACGTGCACACGCATCAACGCACGTGCACACTTTCACAGAGCGCCCCTCCAACTCTCTGTGTTTTGACAGCTGACTCGGCTGTTCGCGCACGTCCTACACAAGTTAGGCCCTCTTTGGGCGCACATGATTGCCGTCCGTGTACGTGCGTGCGTCTGTGTGTGTGCACATCAGCAGCAATTCTCCAGGTGTGAGCTGTCAGGCACTGCATGCGATGACTGTGTGATCTCGTTCAAGTTTATTTCTTTAACCAGAGGAGAACTAGAGATACCAGGAGAGTCTCATTTGATGGTAGAACACTGTGTGTGATGCCTGTTGTGGTAACCTGTGTGCTGGTCGAGCACTGTGTGAGAGATGACTTATGGAACAGTGTTCAATAATGCATTCTTTTTTTAAACATTCCAGCAAATGTAGCGGTCTCTGGTGGCAGGAGGGAGAGGCCACGTGACTCCATCACGTACAACATTCAAATTGAAAACCCGTAGTGTATCATGAACTTAAAAATCAAGTAATAATCGATTAATCCAAGTACGGCATCGTCACACCCTGTCACAGTACCAGGACATCAAGCATCTTCCCTCTCCCTGAGAGGACCGATAAACTCACGAACATCACAATACGGCTCTGTGTGACGTACCAAGATAGGCAACGACCTTTACCAAAGTAGCCTTTTTTATTTTTCAAAAGCCGGAAACTCTTTTCCCTCTCCATTTATTATTTAACGAGCTGTCACTCCAAGACGCCCGACTCAAGGCCTGCGAAATGCATTTCACAAACCGCTGCTAGATCTGTCGAGCTGCGTACCCTCGACGTGCGTCTTGGCAACAACCCAGGCTCATTTAGACGAGCGCAGAGGCTGCTGCTGCTGCTGCTGTACCTCTGACCAAAAATAAGAATTTGCATTATAGTTATGGAAATTCCCCAGGGACTGTTTCATGTAGATTGTGTATGAAATTCCGTGGGGTCGGGGGTCGGGGGCGTTATGCGGAATTTTACAAACAAAGTCGTGGGAGTTATAAGAATAGGTTTTACCCTTTCTGGCAATGAAACAGTTTGTGTTAAGATGTTAACACACCAAACTGAAGCCTTTTGCAAGGAATCGTGTCTGCATTAACCACAGATACTTGTGGTGAACATGCAAACTAAACACAACATGCTCTGGTAGTTTGTGCATTGTCTTTATCGGACGTCCATGGGAAGGGGCGTGTAACCTCTTGACCCATGCATTGAATCTTGAACCTCGTACCGACGCACTCACCGTTTCACCTCCTTGGCATCGCTTGCGATGAAGAAGCCCAAGGTACCCTCTTGGATCTTCACGTGGTTTCCAGGGTTGATGAGGATGCTGCAAAAGGGTCAACGCGGATCCTTATTAGTCAAGCTCATCTCCGTTGCGAATTCTTAAAAGGGTTTCAAGGTTATATTTGAAATGTAATTGCGACCCCACTCAACTGGGGGGAGGGGGGGGTCAACAATAGTTGAACACACAGTGCAACGTCGCCTATCCGACCATCGCGTAGCCCCTCTGACCAATTAACCGCCCTAAAAAGAATCTTCCCGGAACGACTTATGCTTACGGGATGTTGCTAATGAACGTTGTTGTAAGTTTGTGCAACATATTCGATTGCTGCCTTGTGACACGCTTGGTTTTGTTCTGATTTCTATTTGCTGCATTGCTATACTTTATTCAATTTATTTTGCGTTTGTCATTCTGGTTACCCAGGTCGCTCTTGTAAATGAGACTATCCTGGGCTCACCAGTCCTCACACGGTTAAACAAAAATACATCTGAACTGGAAACTCCTAAGTTCAGTAACTGTGCACGGTGTAACTTTACTGCACGAGTTAACATTATCCGACCGTTTCACATATCCGCCTACACCTCAGTACCCAGCGAGTCAGACATGCGACGTTGTACTGCGTCATACAACAAAGACAAAGATCCCCCGTGTAGCCTATTGCAGAATGTTGGGAAACGTGCTGTTACCGAGCACCTATGAAGGCCGGCAAGGCACGAAGAGGGGGTGATGTGACCAGAACCATGCCTGGTCACCTTTGTCTCCTGGGCGCTGGTGTTTACACACCACTGCACCTGGTATTCATTTTGGCCGAGTCGACCTAGACGGAGGTCCAGAACCGGTTCAGATATCACTCGCCACTGATGTTAGCCGTGGCCGGGAATTGAACATAGGTGGCAGGCTTCACAGTGCGGTGCGCTAACTGCTGCATGACACACACAGTACATATACATGCACGCACAAACAGTACACACACATACACATACATGCATACACATACATGCAGTACATGAAGAACTTCGCATCTACTATGAAGCTAAGATTACCGAGTAAGCGCTTGAATCTTTAGCCAGTGCTGTATAAAATGCAGAAAGATAAAAATGCCTTCTGAAAAATGGCCAAATAAAAACTAAGATGAGGATTTTTTCACAGACGATAGCTGAATGGGCAGAGTCTAAGGTGAAGTGAAAACTCTGACGTACGGAATTTCAGCGCAGCTTGTGTGCAAGCAGGTCTGTGTGGGACCGACTGCACGAATGCATTTGTATTCTAGTCCGTTCTGAACGTAGTGCACTGATCACCGCACCACCAATATATATTCCATACTGTCCATTACGGGAGCAATGTAGTATGGACACGCTAACCAGGATATTTGTTAAAACAGGGTATGTCTTGCTCTTATTGGTTTTGAAGTTATGGTATCTGCTTGCACGGAACTTTGATGAGTATTCAAAAGAACCGTTCGTAGCCAGAAGGCGCACCGGTCCGTCTATCATGCATATGCTGAGAAGTCCTCCAAAGATTTTGGTGCGAGGCTATCCCAAGTCCCAAGTGACCGAGCGCGTGAGCTTGAGATAAACGAGGGAACGAAGCTTGCGCCTCATCATCATCAGCAGCCATGAACAATCCACTGCTGTATTAAGGCATACCCCAGCCATCACTGTGATGTTAAAGTAACTTGAGAGTTCGGCCATGTTTTTGCACCACGCTGCCACTTGGGGTGACTGCCATGATTGAGCTTTGTCTCGCAGTCGCAACACCCATTGGTTGGAGATGCATGCGTGGCACCAAATTATAAGCGACTGAGCTCTGATTGGTTCAATTTGCACGTGTGGGAGAGTGGGTTGTCGTGAGTAAAAGTACAGAATTACCACCCTTGCTCCCGAGTGGTGGGACTTGCACGTAAAGAGAGGGGTGACTAATTTCCCCAGTCGGAAATGCATTGCTTGCTCAACATTGGTTGACCCTGCATGCTTTCAAATCATGTAGCCGATTGTCTGGAACCGTCTGCGGAGTTCTGATTTGGAGAAATTTACTCGGGTGACGAGGCGCCATTGCTTAGGGTTGGAGCTGTTTTTCCATTGGCTACGGATGGCCAGGCGCTGTTTATATAAAGTAGAGAGCTTCAGAGCAGAAGACTTGTAGCCATCAACAACTACCCGCATTGGTGGTGAGCAGCACAAGCAGCGGCAGTCGTCTCAAAAGCAGTGTGGGCCTACGTTGACAAAGTCGACTCAACAGTGTACTGGGAACTCCCAGACTGTGCGTTGTGGGTAAACCACGGCTGTGTAGTTTATGTGGTACGCGGCATTCCTTGTTACAAGAGTGATTCCCTTGTGGATGTGTGACACGGGAAGCGGTCAATGACAAAGGGCAGGCGTCTGTCTCTAGCGCCGCCCTGTGGCAAAGAGGAAGCTATGCAACCGTGGGCGACCTCTCTCGCCGCTCGGAGCCCTGCGTGTGGACTGGGTCCAACTCCTCGCTGCATGGTGTGAACTGTAGTGCTGGATGGTGGTGTTCGACTGCTGTGGAGTCAAGTGAAATTATGAAGTATCGCGAGGCGTCATTTGGTGTGTTGTGTCGCTTGACCTGCCCTGCACGCAAACTGGTAAATCTGATTTCTGCGGTGCAAAAAGGGGTCTGGTTTGAGGGCTGGGTAGGGAGGGGGGCAAAAGTATAACCAATGGGGGGCTAAAATCGCGAGGTTTGCATACCCCCCCCCTCCGTGGAATCCGAATGGTTCTGAAAGGTGGACTCTGCACACATCCGGAAGGGCTCTCCAAGACGGCCTTGTTTTTAACGTGTCAATTTGTGCTGGGTTGCCACTAAGTATGCGTTTCGATTAAATTAATATTATACTGGTAGGAACGAAGTTGTAAACTGAGTGTACCAGCCTGCAATAGATTAATGTGTCCGTCCGTCCCCTTTCAATACTTTAACGAAGTGAAATCTCGTGCTGTTGGATGTAAAATCAGCAATAGACAGCGCAGAGACTTGTCCTACCAGCCCACCCTGCAGGGACCTGTTATGCTCCCTTTTACATAAAACTGCCCGACTCCAATAGAAACCCTTTGTGGTGGCATGCCTTCAATCTGACGCGAAGCCACCCCTACGGAGTCGCACGCGTGGAACTCCACCCCTCCGCACGTGACCAGGCTAACGGCAGTGACGCCGCTAATGCGTCCGTACATCGGTGGCTGTCCTGCCCTGTAACTCGACTCTTGGGCACGTGCTCCTTTTCATCAAGTGTATGATTTTAGTGTCATTTATTTGTGCTGTGTTTTATACTCCCAAGCTATCTAACGTCCTCTTCAGTTCTACCATTGCAATCCCCAGCTCTGGCTGGGTATCTGAAAAAACGAAATAAAACGACTCCACCGGTGGGCACCCTTGCGTATTTGGTTCCTCCTTTGGCTGCCCCCCCCCTGTCCCCATTTGTTGGTCTCACCCACCGATCATCCTCCTGGTGACATCCTGCCTGGCCTGACTCTTGCATTCAATGCCAACTTCCAGCAACGCCTGCTGGGATGAACTTGGCTTTGCATCGTTTGTCCACCCACTTCAGCCTTCCACTTTAAGATGATTTGTTTTCGTCAAGCCCTGAGAACCATTGTTGTAAGGGCGCTTTAAACATTTTACACGATTATTATTATTAGAGTGAAGACCTCTATACTTCATGATGGATTTGTATTTGTTATCCGTGCACCTCAGTTGCTCTGCCTCAGCAGTCCGACTGCTGAATTTTGAAGACGATTGCTTGTGTTGCGATCGAAACGTCGTGATTTTAAAACATAGTATATCGACCCAAAAGAGTAGGTTAGAAGTTTCTTGCGCAGATGAAGATTGTAAATTTCCCGTTTACAGCCCTCGGACTGTGGCAATTTCACTTTCCGATAGTGGGGGCATGGCTCAACTACCGACAATTGCTTCGTACTGATTTTATTGAACCCCGAGGGATGTTGGGCTGAGTCGATGCCCACCGAAAATTTTAAATGTCAACCTTCAAATTTGAGTGGCGCTCTACCGCTGAGCCACTTGGCCAATTACAAAATAGCATCCTAATTTGTGAGGCAATTTGTTTTAGTCATTGTCATTTCCACCATGACTGTCACAGCGACACTTATCCATGACTAAGCTGGCAGTCGTTGGCGGTGGCCACCGCCGCTGCCGATTGTTTCTGCAAATATTAGACTGGCACCTGCTTCTGTTAATTAGCAGACACGCGGTGCTGGCTGTAAAGTCCGTGTTCTCCATCACTTGGTGTGGTAGTCATGGAGAGGTGGGGGGGGATTTCTGTTGGGGGTGGCTGGGTGTGGGTGGGTGAGAGTACATGAGGTATGGGTTGGCACTGCTCACTGCCAAACAACATTAATCTCCCACAAGGATGCTGGTCATTCGTACATGACCGGAGTGGCGGGGTTAAGCGAGCCTGACGGTACACATCAGTCAGCACAGGGAACCACTAAATTACGATCGTCACTCGTGATCTATGCACTGTTGGATGAAGGCCTCCAAGCTGTCACCGTTGCTGTCACCCTTAAAAATGAACACTGCATTTGGCTCCTGCGTACGAGCCGATTCTCATTCCTGCATCCCCATGGTGGATGCCGTCTGAGGGGGTGAGTTCTACCCGTTGGCTGTCGCTCCATGATTCGTCTCGACCACTGGCCACCACCATCGCCTCGTGATGTGTCCAACTCAAGCTCACTTCTCTTTGCAGCCCGTATGATGTCTAACCTGCGTATGTTCTGATCCAGGAGTTCCTCTAACCCCCCCCCCCCACCCCACCTCTGGAATTCCAAGTGTACATATCGTAATACATTAGTGATATTGAATTCAATATATTGTGTTGTCCATTTTCCTTGTTCACTGTCCATGTTGCTGGACCACATCTTCAAAGGCGGTAATACGTACAGATTTAGATTTTTTTTACTTTTGTCGAAATAGTCTAGCAAAATCGTGATTTAATTGCATTCCAGTGACTGATTGCACGCCGGGTGGCACCAGTTCGTGGCTGTGTACAAACGATATGCACCGAACGGTCAAGG